CCAATCACAAGTGAGACAAGTCATCCTAAATACACTGTGCCACTTGATTGAAAGGGGCAGATGCCAGTGTGTCAGGATACTCATCTAATTTAGCCAGAAATGGCTAAATCTGCTTATTTATCTAATTCTGGTCAAATGAATGCTGACACCATCAGCAAAGTCATGTGACCACTAGTTTGGAACCACATCTAACCAGTATAACCATAGCACTGACAGAAGAATTCTGTCACAAGGTAAGTTGTTCTCCACATATACTGCCTTCACCTCAGCTTCTAGGGTCTTTGCTGACTTTCTCACTCCATGCTTTCCGTACTTGTTGGCATTGGGGTGTTTCAAATACACAGACACCGAGGTACCATCCATTGTGATCGAGCCTTCAAACTGCATATCACAGTGAGACCGAAAAGTTTTGGTACATAGATTACAGACACGCAACCATAAATCGACCTTCTCTATGGCTTCTGCTTCTCGCTGCATGATGCAAAGGATATGCTGGTACAGGATTTTGGAGTCGATGCGAATGTGGCTTTGGATGAGCGAGTGGTGCAGAGGTATGGCACTGAACCGTTGAAATCCATGCTTTTCATATAGGCTTGACAACCGACAGTATGCAGGAAAGAAGGACATCACGTCAATGGCAATGAGGTAGGCAAGCAGCTTGTCTTGATCAGGAAATGGCAGGTTAAGTGTCCAGATCTCTTCTAGAAGCTCACTCTCTTCAGCAGTCAAGTCATCCAGCGACTCAGGCATGATATCAAAAAGAAAAACTGACTTTAAATAGTGTAGCTGAGTAAAGAAAGCTTTTCGTGCATCACTTTTCGGTGGCAGTTGCCCTTTCCATCCCTTCACATCAAGCCGCAGATTGATATATCGGAGCAGCATTGTAAGGTAGACCTGTCCTTTAGTATTTGCACTTTCGTGTGAACTTAGATTTTCGCGACGCATCTTGCCCTCACATCACCATATATAGCTATAGTGATCATGTAGCCATGTATGGCCAAAGTATGGCACAGCACGTAACAGTAGTTAGATTATGTAAGCCCCGCCATGCTGATGACCTGTCAAAGTCGTTCGGTTCCGCGGCGGCCCCGTAGTTAGAAGATTATTTGTCCCTTTATTTGCTAGCGCCAATCACTTCCGATTGGTGCAAGAGGGACCGCACCAGCGGAGGCGGGAAATCTCAGGCCAACGCCCTGCTGAAGGAGGGAGCAAGCATAAAAAGAGCGCTGCTCCAAAACCCCTCAGGAAGGAGGGCAGCAAGCAAGGAAAAACTAGAAGAACAACTAGCCTAGTTAGCAACGCGAGGAACTATCAATAGTCCCCTTTATCTTGTATTAACAACAAAGTCTTTATACAGCCCTCTCGCAGGGCCCAACAATTCACAAGAAAAATGTCAACTAGAGCAATCTGGTCGATTGACGTTACACAGCATCATCATGAAATGTTCTTGAATGTTGACCTTCAGGTTTGTCATCATACTCACTGTCAGGTAATTGATTGACTGCTGCTTGCCTCATAGATTTGGGTGAAAGAAGCTGACAATTTGGCAGTACCGTTGAACATATGGCAACAAGCATCTGCATATCACCTTCTTTGCATCCGTTCTTGGTTGCCAAGCCTCCGCCTTGTTGAGAAGATACAGGATGGCTTCGATTGTATCTTCATTTACTGTGGGAAAGGTTGGTGCAGATAGGATGTAGAATTTGAGAGCATGGGAAGCATGATCAGCAAGTTGATGGATGATGGTGATGTAATCTCAAAGCCATTGGTGATAGTTTGGCAGGAAAGCTTTTGCAAAGGAAGTCTTGTTGCAGGTATGTAAAGTGGGTTTGTCAAGTTTTTCAAGCTTTTGCTTCTTCTTTGGTGGCATGATGATATCTGTAGAAAAAGATGAAAGCCTGGGAAAATGGACGATGACTTATATAGGATTTTGTGGATCAAACCATAGTTCATGAGTCTAAATCGAGTAAAATTATGATTAAATTGGTTGGAATCTTTGTACTAGTGCCAATACCCATCGGCTCCGCACCATAATATCACAGTCCAACCAAGGCACGTGACTGCTGGATGATAACCGTGAGGGCTTTTCCAGATCTGGCGAGTTTGGACGTCCTTTTGGAAATGCACCCTGTAGCCGTGCGATTTCTATGCGGCCGGAGGGTTGTCCATATTCAGCTGTGCAATCTTGCGGTACCTGCAAGGTCTAGTTCCTCTGCCTCCCGAAGCCCCATACCTTCCTCCCGACCACCGTCTTCCGCGACCGTCATACACAAATCTCAGCATGGCTCCCACAACACTGATCGCCTAGGAGCCTCTGGAGACTACACCTTTTTTGGGAATATCAGCTCTGGGGAAGGTGGTAGAACACTGATATACACCGGCTCGCTCAACAGCTGGATACATCGTTGCAGGCTGTTTGCTGGAGCGATGACTGTGGTCCCGCTTGTAAGCTTGCCGTGGATCCTCGAGAAGAGTGTTGTAACGCTCCCACAACTACTTCCTTGGCGTAAGTGCAACTGCAGTCTATAATGAGAAAAAAGAGATATGACAACAGAATCTCACGGTCCGTATGACAACAAATTTATGACAGTGGGAGCAACATCGGCCATACCGTGGATTGTCCTACACGTATTATCAAAAAACTATGTGACCAAACTCTATAGGTACCCACCGCAACAGCAGCCTGGAGGGGCAGGCAAAAATCACTCCCTTGCGGAACTCTTTGCATTCGAAACCCGCACTCTCTGGGGTGCACGTCGTGAGACTGTGGTCCCGTTGTCCCGTCTTCGCTATAAACCCGGCTGGGTGACGCAAGTATGGGAAACAGTACCAGATGTTAGAGGAAAAAAGAGGGGTTTCTTTGTAGATCCCAGCGTTGTCAAAGGTGATCCGCTGTTGGGAGGATTTTGGGATCAGATTAAAAGGCAAAGCCCGAAGGTTGCCGAATCTGATGACGATCAAACTGGAACTTTGGCATCATAAATCTGATGGGAGTATACCTCTTATCAAATCGATGAAGACGGGTCCTTGTCCTCTCCATCTCACAAAAGTCATCTTTTGGCTTTGAAGGCTAGGCAGTGCCGTGTGCAGGGCCCGCTAGATGGCAGGACAACCGGTGCAGGTTAGATTATCTGTAGCAATCATTGGTGTGATTAGAATTGTAGCACTAGTAATGGACACATGGTTGGCTCCCGCTTCTTTTCTGCCTGATGACGGGTCAATAATGAAATTGCCTGGGCTTCATGTGTTACAGTGCGCTCACAAATATAAATACATCTATTTACGAAGGATGCTTGCTGCCGCTAACGATTTCAATATGCAATTCTACGTAGATACCAACAACTGGTGTACCAAACACAACTTTGTCTGCCTAAATCATCCCGCTATATTACCATATCCATACTGACTTCCTCCATCTGTACGACTTCGGTGGGCCCTTCTGCTAGCTTTTGCTTGTGAGCATTTAATAGGTATCCCATCGTGTAGGTATTATCGTTGCAACTTTAAAACAACGAATAGTCAGACTCGATCGGCATTTTGCACATGTGCAATAGGAGGTTACTTACACTTTCCCGAGATCCTCATACATTTTCGACATCCCCTTTTGCAACCCGCGTAGGACACTCGCGAATTCAACGCTGTGGTCTTTCAAATATCGGCCATGATACTTTAACAGCGTTGTGGCCCACATGAGATTGAACTGGATTCGCGGGCTTGCCTCCATATATGTAATCACAAACTTCAGCATTCTCTCCAAGTACTTCACTGGAAGCTCCCGTGCTATCAGCATGATCTCATCTGCTGGAATGTTATCATATACTTTTTGTATGATTGGCCTTTCACCCAGCCTGAAACTCATGACTAAAGATCGAAGATATTCCTTGTCTCGCAATGCTTCCATGATCGCGTCCGGCGTGATGTCAAGTTCAAGATCGAAAGGATCAAACAAGAGGGTTTCATCGAGGAAATAGATGAGAAGACCCTCCGTTGAAGCTGCAGCCCATGATCGTCCAGTAGGAGAAAACCGAACGCCTTTGGTTCGCGCCAGTGGTCGCGTCTTTCGCAGACTGGCATCGCCCTTTATCACACCGGGTAAACTTGTGTCCATTCGATCTTCTAGGTCGCTGAGGTCCCCGGTGTCATCGATCAAGTCCTTCGGTCCAGCCTCCGTCATGTTCTTACTATTTAGAAACTCTTGCATACCATCCATTGACAGGTTTTGGGAAATCTGGAATCGCTTCAGAAGCACCTTGGTTGGCACGTCATATATACACACATACTTTGAGTTGCCTCCAGCGATTAGTCCGGTCCCGTCCGCCGTGAAGCATATGGAAGTGAAGTGTTTTCCAGCCGAGTTGTTCGCAGCAGTCATGCGATCATCCGCTTTACGACCTCCGGAAATATGCTTTCGCCCTTCTATCGAGCCAACCTGCTTCCCTTCATTCACATTCCAGAGGCTAACCTGACCATCTAATGTTGAAGCAGCCAGGACTTTTCCATCTGGACGATACGCAATGGAAATGACCTCGGCTTGGTGTTCCATGGCTTCTTGCGCCCGATCTTTGCCAAACACATCCCACATCCGGACGGTTTTATCCCAGGAGCCCGAGGCCAGTATGCCCTCAGAAGGTGAGAAGGTGAGGTGACTCACAGGTCCTTCGTGGCCTGTGAGAATATCCAGCAGCTTTCCAGTTTGCACTGACCATACAAAAATCTCAAATGTATCAGAGCTCCCTGCACAAACGACTTCTCCACTCGGATCAACCGCTAAGCACGAAAATTGAACAGGAGTTGGCGTCGTGAATGTCCGAAAGTTCCGATATCTAATGAGGTCGAAAGCTCGTACGGTTCCATCCAACGAGGCTGAAAACACTATTTGACCTTGCTTTGCAAATTCGACCGCCGTGACACCGGCAGAATGTTCCGTGAAGGTTACAAAGCAGAACCCAGTCTGCGTATTCCATAGTTTCACTTTCCCGTCGTCTCCTCCAGTTATCACAAATTGTCCATCTTGCGAGTAAGACAAACAGCTCATCTCATGGTGATGCCCTTGTTGCTTCAAAACGTATGACTCAGACTGCCACTCCCACACGAGAAGCTGTCCAAGAGCAGACGATCCAAATGCCAGCCATTCCCCAGATGAGTTAATGGCCGTAGCTGTGATTTTCTTTTGGGATATACTGGGGACAATCGATATTAGTGCGTGGGTGAGGTACTGATTTCCATGGCATATATGCCTACCTCAGTGTGTGGATGTTTGTGAAATCAGGCAGCTCCCAGATTCCAAAGATACCAGAGGTAAAGCCTACTACCAGTAGACTTGAGGCGGCATGGAACGCTACACTTACCACCTTCGCGTGGTTTTGATTGAAGTAATGTCGTGCTGATGTTCGCCATTTCTTCACCCTGATTCTTTCCCCATCTCCCACTTTCCTTTTCTTTGCTGTTGCTGGCTCCTCCCCGTTCATTCCAGACTCATCCTCCCCTTCCATTTCCTCCTTCATATTCCATTCAAACAAGGCCCCATCTTTACCCACAGTATATACAGTATTCACATCTTTCGAGAACCACGCACCGACAACAGTATCACGATGCCCGGCTAAGACCGCCCCATGAAATCCTTCTATTGGATCTACAGCATACAGCCTTGCAGTCATATCTTTACTTCCAGTAAGGAAAAATCGTGAATCAGGCGACCAAGAAAGGTGGACTACATCATCGTAGTGTCCGGGATATTTTCGATGTAGGATAAACGGAGCAAACTCGAGAGTAAACCCGGGTGTCCGCCAGACATGTACATGTTTCTCGTGAGTAACAGCTAGATAGCGACCGTCAGGGCTGAACACTAGATCGCGAACGGGCGTTTTGAAATTGAAGTGGTGAAGTACTACTTGTCGCTGGAAATTCACCAAAAGTGCCCGGCCGTCTTCGTCGACTGTAATCAAAAGTGAGCCATTTGGTGACAGAGCGAGGCGGACAATGTCTTTTCTGTTCTCAAACGGCAGTGTGTGGGACTTATTGCTGTAGGAAAAGTATGCGTACCGTTAATATTAGGCGGAACCAGTGCCAGTTTCCTCCTTCCTCCACTATTAACGTACCTCACGAGATCAAAAACTGTTACCCGGTTTCCTACGGGGCTGACGACTGAGTTCCCATCGGGTGTGAAAATGACATTCCCTCTCTTGTAGACCGTCCCACACAGGTTGGAAAACTATACATCACAAAATGGGAAAGTCAATACACCTGTTATCATACGCGACAAAAGAAGAAGAGGGGTATCTTTATGTTCACTCACTTTGTAGTTTAACTTCATGTTGCAAGGACGGAACTGGCCCAGCACAAGCGACAGAAAAACGACAATACAGAGACCTTGAAACACAGACGACTCTTTACAAGACCAGTTTCCGCCAGCGTCCCTCCCTTCTGTACAATAAGTCCTTTGTCGTCAAACAATGGTGGATCTCTGGTCGATCTGTTCGGTCGTTGTAACTCCGAACAAAAAGAATAATCAAATGCTTGGTCAAGATCAGTGTATCACGTGATCGTGACTGTGGCTTGGCGAAGGGTCATGATTGTGACGCTTTGGGAGTTGTGTTTTGAGCTGCACGCAAAAATCAGGTCAATCAAGGCGAGAAAAACACCGTAAATCAAGGGCATTCAAGGCAACTGGAGAAGAAGGAAAGAGAGAGAGAAGATCGTTTGCGTTTGCTTTCGAGAAAGCTGTGCTTGCGGATTCCATCACTCGTTCTTTTTTTGGTGGTACGTTTTTTATATTGGGGAAAAGGGCCGACGATAGAACACCTTTTTAACAAAAAACGCACCCGTTACTCGCACCCGACACATATGCAGTAAGCAAGACGGCGCTACAGGTACCTTTGGAATCGGAAGCTCTTTTGATTCATTTGGCAACTGCGCCGTATATATACCGGCTGCTTCGAGGTCGAGCGGCATGAAATTTACTTTTGCCACCTGCAACCACAAACTTCAACTGGAAAGCCAAACAAGTTGGGCGAACCAGACACTGATTCGCCCTCGCTTGCTGTCGACCGTGGAAAACCCTCACCGAACAACGACGCAACCACCATCTCGCCTAGCGCCGTTCGTCTATTGCAATGGCAGATAAAGAGGACCGAAACCCTTACTCATACTCCCTGGGAGCGCAAGGATTCTTTCCTTACAATACTCCAGGATCTCCAGCTCACACCAGCACAATAACGCCAACGCCCTCATCTCCAGCGTACGGTGGAGGTGCATATGGAAACCAGGGCCAAATGTACTCCTCCATACCACATCGGTATCCAAATCACATCCATCTCGGGCAGAAACTGCCTGGGCACGTATTGCAGTCTCCACAGCTCAACCATGCGATACCGACGTATCAACAGCACCTTTCGCACGCTGCGACCACAGCTGTGCCAGCAATCAACTCGGTGGGTGCGAGTGTCAGCGGCCAAGTCGCTGGGCCGCATCATCAAAAGCAGATGGACTCCGTCATACTGTCAAGGCAAGCTGCATCTCCACATCATCACGCACGCGTCGCTGCGGCTGCTGCCCGAACCGGGATGTCGAATTCAGAGAGTAATGGCAATACCTCCTGCGTGGGCAGTACCGTCGACCCGTCAGCCAAGGCGTCGCAATGGACCATTATCGACTTGGGAGGAATGCAAATGAAGAATATCAGCAGAAATCTTTTCGGCTACACATTTCTCACAACCCTCTATCTGAATCACAACGCGTTGGCCTCACTATCGCCCGAAATTGCAAAGCTGACCAACTTGGTGGTTCTGGATCTATCTGGAAATCGCCTATCGTCAGTACCGTCAGAACTGGGCATGCTCGTCAGCCTACGGGAGCTATTACTATTTGACAATGAATTGACTTTCCTTCCGCCGGAACTGGGACAACTCTTTCAGCTCGAAACTCTCGGGTTGGAAGGCAATCCACTCAATGAGCCAGTGGGTTCAATGATTCAGAAGGAAGGGACGAATGCGGTCGTCACCTATCTGCGAGAGATGTGCCCTGGTAACTATCAATGATGAAGTTCATTACTCCGCGAGCTGCAGCATACGAATGATTAATTCCGTTGTAGTTGGTCCACCTCCGGCTGATCGTGAATGGATTCCCTTGGAAGATGAGTACACAGCAGACTCGAAAGGTTCGTGCAGTAACCTGCAAGTCTCTGGAATTGTGAATTGACTTCTCCAATTGCATCGTAGATACCTTCACTGTCATGTGTTACAACATCCTTTGTGAAAAGTACGCAACTCCCCAAGCGTATGCCTACACTCCGTCTTGGGCTCTCAACTGGGATTACCGGAAAGATCTTCTCCTGCAAGATATTCTAAACTATAGTGCGGACATCGTGTGCCTACAGGTTGGTGTTATCAGCTTACGCGAGCTTTTGCTATATATTGTCTAATTATGATGATGGTTTTGCCATACAGGAAATGCAAATGGACCAGTATGAAGATTTTTTCCGAGATCAATTATCGCAATTGGGCGGCTATGAAGGTGTCTTCTTCCCGAAGTCACGAGCGCGAACGATGGCAGAGTACGAACGAAGACAAGTTGACGGATGTGCGACTTTCTGGAAAGCCAACAAGTATGCATCTAACAATCGCTAGTATCTTCTGAGGAATGATTCTGATCGGTGATATCTTTTTAGATTTTTCCTCGTTGAGAAGCATTGCATCGAATTTCAACAATTCGCAATGCAGAGGCCGGAGCTGCGGAAGGCGGAAGACGTGTTCAACAGAGTGATGATAAAGGACAACATCGCAGTTGTGGCACTGTTGGAGAACAAGGAGACCCATGGCCGTATATTGACCGCCAACGCACATCTACATTGGGACCCATCGTACAAGGACGTCAAGCTCGTCCAAACTGCGATGCTGATGGAAGAGTTGGAGAGGTTGGGTAACACATGGTCGCGGAATGCACCAAAAGACGCAGCAAGAAATTCGCAAGATGTTGCACGGGTACCTCTTTTAATATGCGGAGATTTCAACTCACTGCCAGATTCGGGCGTATACGAGTTCCTGTCGAGCGGTCGAGTACCTCAGGACCATGAGGACTTTGGAACGTATACATACGGTCCATACACATCAGAGGGTCTGCAGCACAAGTTCGCGCTCAAATCTGCGTACTCCCATACGGGAGAGCTAGAGTTCACCAATTTCACGCCCCAATTTAAGGGTGTCATCGATTATGTATGGTATTCGACCAACACTTTGAGTGTGACTGGACTGCTTTCGAGTGTAGATAGAGAGTATATCTCGAGGACTGTGGGTTTCCCCAACGCGCACCACCCATCAGATCACTTGCCGTTGGTTGTATCGTTGCGAGTAAAGTCCCCCGGCGCTCCAACAACAAGGGTGTTGCGGTTTCAATAGAAAAAAAGTCTAAACAACGTCTCAGTGCGTCCCTCTCCTTTTCATTCTATGATGGCATTCGCCTGCAAGAGTCTATCTTTCTTGCATTCTCTTTTCCATTTCTAAGAATGCTTTCATGCCAGGATCTATCATGTCTTCCGGAGGTGTCTCTTCCTGCAGTTCCTGAGCAGCTTCTTCTTCTCTCCCTGCAGCTAGCAATAGTTCCCTACGACGATCGCGAATTTTACGTTTTGAGGTTTGATAATCGTCCATGTCCTCCTGATACAAATCCCATACACTTTAAAAGAAGCGTGTCACCAGAACGCAGAGTTATCGACGTAACTGACTCAAGATGAACCAAGCGGCCTACCAGTGAACACATCCAGACATGCAACAATTTGTTGGAGCTTCAGGTTGAACGAGATTTCTCTCCTCTTCTTCCAGCCGTGCCAACTCTTCGTCAGAGGCTGCTTCAACAACATTTTTCTTCACATTGTTTTCATCTAGTAGTTGAGGTTGAGTATCTGGGGTAATATCGGTGGCGGGATGACGTTGCTTGAAAGTCGGCGGGCGTAAGAAAGCCTCAGGAAGATCTGGGGTGTCAGATCCTTCAGAACGAACATTCACGTTCCGAAGCCTTGTGGGATCAAACTGATGGCTATGGGGCTAACGAGCAAATGACTTTGTCAGCTATGTGTAAGGGATGGAAAAAAGGGAAAACGCTCGTGTACCTGTTCCAATATCAAGTCGTAGTATCGATATCTGTCGGCAAGCGAAGCTGCTGCAGATAGATGACGAAAAAGCTGGAAAGGTGGCAGAGCATTGTTTGGACGTCTGTGAATGTAACCAATGGTAGAGCATGTCGCTTGCAGTCGACCCATGGAGTTCCAAGCATCTTGTGAGGTGATGGACGTTCAAATGGTTCAAAAGATGGTGACTCATCCAGGTTGCATAATCTATGAGTAAGCAACGATCACTTTGGGTTTTTAAACGATGGAGGACATTCCGTTCATCTTTGCAGAGCCTTGTCAACTTAAGTCATCTGCAGTTTCTCAATCCACGTACATGCTTATCCCCCTTCACTTTATTTACTAGCACCATCCTGATATAATCGATTGTTGGGCGCTTTTCATGTCATTGACCTGGTAGCGAACCACCGGGGGCATTTAGGCAAAGTCGGAGGAGTATAGGAGTCAACCCAATTCCTAAAGCATCATAGTATATTCTATGTTTATCATTGGTGTTAAAGGCCAGTATAGTTTCAAACGTGGCCAAATATATGTCGTGTTAAACCCGTCAGTCATCAAAGGTTGGTCGGAACGGCAGTTGCTTGCAGTCCTCGCCTGCATTACTATCGTTGGCTTCCAGTACACCTCATAGCTACTGTAGCTCACTTCATCCTGGTCCACCAATGCTGGTATTCACGTGACTGATTTTTGTTGCCATGGTTCCCAACGCTCGCTGGCCATCCTGCGTCTCCGATAGTCTGCCCATTTACAATTTTGTTTGGCAAATGTCTCTTCAGCTTATACAGCGGCTGCAACGAGCCACGGCCGTTAGGGCTCTTTGCTCTATTGCCACTTACTCCCCTCTTCCTATGCAACGATGCTTTTCTGTAACCTCACGCACTCAAAGTACGGAATTCAAACAAGAACGGATTTCAATGACGGCGCCCATAGCGAACTGGAATCTCGCCACACAATACGTTGAATTGCCTGCAAAGGAGAAGGCTACCTTTGTTCCGAAAACCAGAGGTGAGTTCCTTTCTCGAATACCCGGTGATCTGTGTGATCTGACGATCGAGTAATTATTTAACAGGTCCGTTCACTGACCCGAAAACGTTCCTCACCGCGATTGGCCGGGGATGTGATTCATATGCAGACAAGTTCAAGAGCTGGGAACACCTTTTCACGGTAACAGCAGACCAAATGGAGAAAGAATTGGGAGTAAAGTGCACACACCGCAAGTATATAATGGGATGGAGAGAATGGTACAAGTGAGTAGAGACTGTTCCTGTGTTGTCCCCGTTAGTTCTGTGAGTAGATACTGACCATGCATTCACAGGCGTGGCATAGATCCGTATCCTGTTGAAATCCCAAAAAGGCAAAAGAAATATCTGAAGAGCAAGGCTAAAGTGCAGCTGGCCCGTTTGAAGCGGCAAGGATTAGCCTAAGGCACGACAGCTGCGAAGTACCGTTATTGTGCGTGAGCACCTTGTAAACTATCATGACCATTTACATCTTAAGGGGTTACCTTTTTATAAACACATTCTTATTATTTACAAGAGAATACCATATGGTATTAATCAAAATTACATTGGACGCGACGATGTGCCATATTCGTCCGGTATGGCCGAATTTAGCAAATCTGGTTCCTCCATTGGCACCTGAACCACAATGGATAGATCCGGTGGAAGCCTTGCGTAATACAGGTTGTAATCTAGTCTCGTCGCAAAGTTGCCAAACAGATAATCGTCGGTGGTCGCATGGTGCTTCAAGGTGTCAATTAACGTCCGCATCTGGTGTACGAACGTAGTTTCCAACTCTTTCAGCGTTTGGTTTGCGTTCTCGGCATTCAGAACTGTTCCACCAGTTGCAGATATGTATGCGTCAGAGAGGGGATCAGGTATCGCAGATGGGTGTGATGAGTGAGCTAGATTGTCCGGGATGCCATACTCGGAAGGCGCCTTTCCAGCAACGAACGTGTACGGCGCTTTGAAGCGCGTATATGAATGCGAAAAGATGCAGAAGTCTATACATATAGACATCAGCTTTCTAAACACCTGTATGGAAAATTAGATCAATGGTGCATCGGGTGCAAGAAGATTGCCTGTCACTTTAGTTACCTTCACCATTCCCAGGTGTGAAAGCATCAATTCTGTCAACAGCGCATCTTGATAATCATCGTGGAGAGTCATGACAGCTTCAATGGTTGGAGCCTATAGGAGAGAATTTATAGTCTCGTCATCAGAGGCTTGATGAATCGCAACATTTACCTTTTGCAGCCGCTCCTCGAACTTTGACCAGGTCGGCTCAATCACCTCATAGCCGACATGGTACATATATTGCTGTATGAAATGGAGCATCTTCGCTCTCAGCGCACACATTCGGCTCATAAAAAGTGACTCCTCCCTTTCGCGACCCAAAGCTTCCTCTTCCTCACTGTCCAAGTCGGTAAAGAGCTGATGCCCTTTGTTTCGGCGAAACCTTCTCCCCTTGCTGTACAGTCCCGACTTCAATTGATGACGCCAAGCATCGCCCAGTTGCCGCTCAATATACTTGCATTGAAATAGATGCCGGAAAATAACCTGATATTTCACCAAGACCTTTTTATTGATAATGAGGGAGGTGGGAAACGGGACATCGTAATGAAGTTGGAATGCTTGAATACCTGATGTACAGCGCCATATGAGCAAATTGCATGACCGTTGGTCTCCGTAGACCTGCTTCTACTTACCGGATTGTTTCTTCCTTGCTCTGAGAAGCTCTTCTTCCAAAAATGATTTGCTGCCGAAATCAAAGACGTTCCCACAAACCGTGCTGATTTTTATCAGCTGAATTATGAAGTGGGTCCGACAGAGTTCTGCTGATACGTCCTCTTTGTATTCATGGCTGCGGGGTCCTGCGGCAGGATTTCGTAAAACTAATTCCAAGAGCGATGCAACCTGCTCAATGGGCACTTCGTCGATAGGTTTGAGTAAATGCTCATGGGCCACGTCAAGGAAGTGGACCAGGAAGTCCGACTGCTCAAGCAGGTAGAAGTGCTTTATGGAACTATTCAGACGTGAGTCACGGATTTCATAGCTGTCATACAAAAGAGATCCCTCTCACCGTAGCCTTGCCAGTAGCTGGTAGTCATTAAATAGTAGGCTTAGCAACGTGGTGTTGGCATACCGGTAAGCACCTTCGATATCCTGGACGAATCTGGGAGTTTTATTAGACTGGATAAAATTTCCGTACCACACAAATATCAAGCACCTTTCTCCGCCAACCGCTTGTATGGCGTCTCCTATTGTTGCCCGGGTGCGACTTTCGTCCAGTAGTTCTGCATATGGCTTTGATACCTCCTTCCCACATTCACGTACGACGTTGAGGTATTTGCCTGCGTGCAGGATCTTCTCCTCATATGGCTTTAGAAAGTCCGGAACAAAGCTGTGTCGGAGGGTGTACCGCTTGTCCCAGTAAACATCATTGAAATCCTCAGACAGCTGCTCCTTGTCCATCCCGCGCTTCTCCTGCACCATAAACTCATCATACGGATCGATGATTTCCCCAGAATTTATCCAAGTCCTCAACATGACTGTGTACGGAACCGCAGCAGCGGTCAGAAGTTGCGAGTAGAGTGCTTTGACAACAGGATCCCTGAGACACCGTGTCAGTCCCCACACGCTCTTCAGCTTTCTCATGTCAACCGAGCAGTGCCAACTCACCCACTGAAAGAGAGCATATGTTGGGAGAGAATCCCAAGTAAGACGCCACCACCAGCCTGATTTCCCGGGGTCAAAGCACTTTTAGTCAGCTCGTCTTTGCCCTCTTCTGGTTTGAGCTTTCCGGTCTCTTCCGCCTCGGCAATCGCTTTAATCAATGATGCCAGAGCTGACATAGTGGTCAGGGAAGGATGAAGATAAAACCACAACTTCTGAAGTCCAAAGTTTGGGGCAGTAAGAGCTTGGTGCTCCAATTGAACTATAAGTAAAAGGTAGTTCTAAAATTAATGTTAGCACACAATGAAACGTTTTTATGCTCATTGTAAACGTGTCTCATCTGACCTTCACAAGACTTCGCATGGTTGCTGCCAAGGCATGCTGTACTCGCCCATGTTCAAACTTTGAGTGGGAGTCGATAAACCGCTCAACTACTTCCAAGTTACCCGCAAGGGGTAAAATCCGCTTCACCAGTTCGGCAATTGATTGATCTAAGCGATATATACATAATCTTTACGGTCAGATTTGGCACGTTGGGCAAAAGATGACCACCGTAGTGCTTACCCATAGTAGAATCGCAGCGAAATGGGGATGACTGGGTCGTTTCCACTTCTACATCGCTGCGTTGAATATAGGCGCCCTCAATGCCCTTCAGTCCTAATTCATCAGCCGGAAGGATAGAGCTCAGTACTAGATAACGAACTCACCATTAGCACATAAAGCAAATCATGAATCACAAGCTTCTCCTGTTCGCCGTATGGTAGAGATCCGAGTGGTTCTTTCTCGCCAGCAGGCGGCTATGCATTGACCCATGAGCGTTTTATGATTTATGACCATGAGCTAGCAGGAAAGGCGTACCACTGGGATTGAAGATTGCACTCGCGGCTTTAGTGGCGAGTCATTCATTTTATCAACAGGGACTTTTCCAGTAGGTTGTTTTCGCTCTTGTTGCACATCGGCGGCCACGGACCTTATCTTCGCGCGTATCGGTTTGTCCGCATCTTTCGGCGACGCTGCCGTCTTTGAGAATCTCCACGTCCTCGTGTCCCCGGGGGTCGGTACCATAGTCGAACCATCTAAGAATTCGGAGAAGTAGGAAGATGCCTCGGCGGTCCTGGTCCGCGACGTTTCCGCCGTTTGAGAAGCTGGGTCCTTGCCTCTGGCCTTAAATTCGTGAGATCACGAGCTTTTGAGTACAGTACATGCCATACATCGTAAATATGTCCTTACCTTAGTTTCATCAAAATTCCCCATAGATCGCGAGCGACTGACCGATTTACTGGACAACCGACCAGTGCCAATCACACCGGTCGGGGTTGAATCCATTTTCGCCACGCCGCTGCTTCCTCTAAGTATATTTCGAGATAGCCCAAACCCACCGATCGGACTGCCATACTCCAGCTCGCTCAGGTCAGTTTCGTCAAAACTAACCTGGCGGCGCAACTGATCGCTCATTGCGTTAAATGTACGATCAGCGCATTGCACCAGACGTGCTTCCAGCATGTTACCTACATTGGCATGTCCGACAGTCTGGACGCGTCTGGGTAAGCAAGGTTGCAGTGGATCTAACTAGTCCTGCCGATCTTGCTTTATGCCTCCTTCTACAATAACGGAACGACGACAGCTTCGATGAGCGCTTTAGACTTACGGTCCATATTCTGGGGCAATTTGCTTCTGCTGGGCTTGCAGCCAGTACACTACCCAGGGGTTACCCTACATCGAGATATGTTTGCGGGACACACGGGTGCCAGTAAATCAATGGAGGTTGTGCTGAGGTTTCTTTTCGGCACACTAGACCCGGTCTTATCAAAAGAGGTGGGATTATGGTAGAGGATGAACACTTGAGCAAGCGCGCACGCGCCCTCCTTAATCTCCGGTGAACTTACTTGACTGTACATTGCGTGCATGTAGCGGTTCGCCAAATGCTGGCCTATTGTGGACCGAGGGCAAGGGCGAGAATTTCGGAATGTTGCAGTCAAGTGGCTAGAATTTCTGAAGAAGGAGGGGCATATCCCATCAGACGTTTTGGTCCGACGGTCCTATTTTGATGAATGCAGAGGGGAAAGGTCAGGCCAGCTTCATCAATAGGAGGTGCTATTCATCCAAGTACAGTCTCAGTAAAACTTGTTCTTAATTCAGATTTGAGCGAGTGCTACTTGCTCTTTCGCATTATGTGCTGAAAGTAAGCTTCGAACGCTCTTGTGGGTCCAATCAAAATGTATCCTTGAGTGCGTTTTCACTTTGGCATCACGTTTCCTCGACACCATATGCTGAAAGTTTGATTACACGTATAGGTCGTCCACAGGGTGGGAAACGAGATTCTTTGATGGAGGAACTACGGATGAAAGCGCTGAAGGTACTTTTGGTGTTTCGATGATTTCCCTCGAATGATGCGTTGACAACTTTCTCAGGTGCGGATTACAGCTGTAGCACATGACTTCTTGGCTGAGGAAAAGACCCGAACAGACTTGCAAACGCAGTGGAAGTCGTATGCAGAGCAACTTACTAATGACTATCAAGACCTGGTCTGTCGGAAGGTGAGCATTTGAATGCCATTCGGTAAACTGGACTTTTTATTGAGTAGGGCGCCCGTTTTCGTCGAGTAGAAAGACGCTCATTTGACTCGCAGCCGGCTGCAAGAAGAGCTTCAGACTGCCTTTGATTCCTCCAAATTGGAAGATGCCCTCTCCCAGCGTGCGAACACTACTAGTCGTATTTCGGCCGGATGGACTACGGTAATTGACTGGATGAAAGAGAACCGGCGGAATATGGATATGACGGAGGACATTCTGAAGGGGCATACTAGTGACTGCGTCTTAGAGAACACATCCATGTGCTTTGAGCTTCCATCTGGTTTGCAGAATGGGGATGGACGCGTCACAACGCGACCTTATGTTGATGGTAGACTGGACCTAACTGCTATCACGAGACTCTGGAGCATTGCCCAGTTTGAATTGTTGAAAACCCTTCAAGGATCAGTTCTCAACCCAACATCTGAATGTGACCAGAGACCCTCATCGATAGCATGTTCGGAAACGCCGGATCTGGTAGCGGATCAGCTCTGCAAGCAAGAGACACTACTTGCCAGAATAAGGACACTAAAGAGTGATATGCAGACACAGCTGGTGGACATACGAGCAAGTATCGCTGCGAACCGTTCTGGCGTTCGCTCCAAGTATGATGATACACCCCCGAAACAAAATCGAGAGGAGACGTCAGATACAATTTTGAACGAGAATCCAGGACCGGACATGGACATCAGCACACCAACTGTCGTTAAAATTGTTAGCGAGCTTCCTACTCCGGAGGCTGTGGCGGCAATAAATGATATGGTGCGATCTGAGGTCACCGGCGCTATGGATGCCGCCGCTTCTGCGTCCATAGCTGCTTCGACCAGAGCCATGCGAGAGCGCCTAGTCGCAGCGGCTTCCTCTAGAATGGGCATTATAGACTTTGATTCTTCACACCAAGTCTCATCCAACAAAGACATCAAAGGTACGATGCTGGCGACAGCCGTATGTATCGACCTGTAGCTAATTGTTTGTTTGTCAGTCACACCGCCGGCGACACCTAAAGGTCATGGCCGGTCATCCAGGCTCCTGGCACCCACAGTTTCATCAGCAGCAAAGTGCAGGACTAGGCCACCTTCTAAGGCATCGGAGCCTTGCTTGGGCTCTCCTTCTCGTATGCAGTTCGCTGTAATTACAGGCGAATCGTTCATTGTATTAATTTGGTCGTTTCATTGACGTCCAGGCACCACGTTGCAGAGGAAAATAAAGGAGAAAACAACCAACAGCAGCAAGAAGAGAGTACCTGGTAAAAGCCTTTTGTTGTATCCCACCTTCGATGTCATTCAATGCTTAAATATGCGCGGGTTTGTAGATAAGCAAGGTGCATCCGCTAGCCAGAACGTCAGTCTCGTTAAGTCACGGACCAGCAATTCCCCTCGTCGCTCCAGCTTTACACGGACATCCACCGCACATTCCCAGCGAGAACCAACTGTCGCATACGATTTGCTTTGCGAACAGGTGATACGGTTGGGGTAGTAGCGATCAGAAGTACATTTATCTCATTTTCTGATACAACTTTCTTTTGGCAGATTGTCAACTTCGTTCACACTGAAATCGGCCCCGTCCCTCAAGTTCCCTCTGCGCCCGCTGGCTCCAGCATATCGCCTGGTAGGGTTGATCAATTAAACTTCTCCGATACGCATACAGGGTTGTTTCAAGACGATCTGAACGAGATGACTGAACCACCTGAGAACATCGCGGATCCCATAGCTGCGCTAGGTATGTATACTGCTCTACAAATACTGACAAGGGTCTTGATTCTCAAGTTCGTTACTGGTGTCAGGAAATCAGGGGTTCCATCCTCAGAAAGAGATTGCCCGAACTCCAGAGAAGTCTCAAAACCAGACCTTGGCCTCCAACAGCGTTCGTGGGTCAGCAACAAGCGCTAGACATACATCCTCTCGTGTCAACGCGTACAGACCCAAGACACCCAGTAAATTATCCCAGATTGTTACATTTGACTCCAGCTCCGATTCACTGTTGACAGATGATAATGATCAAAGCGACAAAGAGAACCTGGAGCGAAGTCCAGACAGTAAATCCCCGCGTACCCGCCATCGGAAGTCATTATTGACTTCGGAAAAAAATAATTCATATGGAAGAATGGGGAAAAGTCCCAACTCGCAACGCAAGAAACCCAAGCAAGGATTGCTGCAGATGTTACACACTCCAAAACGCATCGCTTTACGAAATTCCAAAACCCCTGGTATGTGCAATCTGCAATCTCATTGCTGGCAAAATGAAAGGATTTGGCCTGACCTGGCTTTGTTGGACTTTGACCTCTTGTTAACAGTCAACCGACAAAGCCGTAGTCGTACGGAGAGTCCGTCATCGCCGGCGATTGACTTTGGAGAAGTTGACGATTGGCTAGGTAGGAGACATATCAAGTCCTGCTCAATCCACAAATCTTACCCGTTATATGCAGATGAAGAAATACCGGACTTTCTCCTTGATGCTGATGACGAGCTGCACGGGACTGAAGAAGATGATCCCAATTTTGGTCCCATAAAGGTCGCGTTGCTACCACGACGCGGGAGTAACATCTCTTTCCATAGAGGGGGTATAGAGGATGACGACAAGGATCAGGAACTTGAAAACATGTTTGACAAGCTCCGACAGTTGAAGCTGAAGACAGCGGCGGCAAAGTAGCGTGACCAATATTTTGGCCACCTTGTAATATATTGGCTCTGCAGTAGAGCAAAAGTAATGGCTAACACTTGTCGATTCCACCGCCGGATCCACCTCCACAGTTTGATTACCGCTTCATTAAACGATGCGGGGACGCATGCCACGCCCTGAGCACATTACTTGCAACATCTCGTCGTTGTCATTATATGTACACCCCACCACATGCTACCGTACTGCTATCGTCCAGCCTGTGCTTCTCGTCTTGCTGCGTCTTGTAACAGTGCGGTATCCACATGTTGGGCGGGTAGAGATACATATCGCACTACGGAACCCCGAACGAAACAGTTCTTCACGGACATCTGCAACCACACATTAGCTGCTCGAATCGAATGACAACATGTACCAGCAAGACACAAACCATATGCGGGTACTTTTGTTCATCCACAACATGTACATCGTCCAGCTTGATATTCAGGAATTGGTCAACAGACACGAGTGTACCGCGGATCTCCAAGTCGTTCTTTAGCTCAACCGTAACTTGCTTCCCGACAAGGGTCTTGAAGAACGAGTAGAACAGCTGCCATCGGTAGATGCAGATAAGTGTCTTGCGTTCAAGCCATCGTCATATCATCACAAATACCATTGGAACTGAGTATGCTGTGACGACACAAACCGTTCGTCGTTGTCAATTACGATATCTACGAGTCACAAACAAGAGGTCAGCCCGGAAGGAATGACGAATAATTGGGAGGAACGAGAGTCCCCGCGCGCTGTTCAGGTCACAATGGTGCGATGCATCTCTGGTCCTCACCTTCACAACCCGTTCACCACCTTGTTCATATGAATCTGGGCAGGAGGCATTCGTTTGGTGGTTGACCGATCGTCGGCTTGTTGCCATAGCAATGTGACCTCGTCAGCAGCGCAGCGCTACGCGTCCAGCGCGCGCGCGATGCCTTTTGAACTTCAAAACCGCTGACACCTTTAAACGTAAGTGGAACACGTACTACGGGGTAAAACAATGCCAATAATGCATTTCAATTTAAATAGCACGATCGCTAATGGAAGCCTTCAAGAGCTCCTATATCCAAAAATGCACTGAACTGGCCATCGAACCGCATCGTGCTCTTGGTGATCTGTTTATCGATGGGACGGCCGTGGCAGCAAGCGAACTTCTTGATATACATGGGCAGTCCACAACGCTCAAAGATATTACTGCTCTGGCGGCCGCTTTGGCAAATGATGTGAGGTTTACAAAACTCAATTTGGCTGATACGTTTGTCGGCGACGACGGTATGAGGTTGAAACCTCCGATTCAATGCCATTAGCCACTGCACGTGTTTCTAACGAATCTTCTTTACAGGATGCATATTGATTGCGGGTGCTCTGAAAACAAACTGTACCATCCGATATCTTGATCTGCGTGGCAATAGGTTCGATCCCGTTTCGTCGCTGTAACGCAGATTGTAGCAACATGTTGGTAACTTTTAATCAAAGCATTCGCGCAGATGGTGCAACAGCTTTGGCGCAAATGTTAAAGGTTAACACAGCCCTAAAATGGTAAGAAGGCTGTTGATCAGTCTCCAAGCGGTCCCGAAACTCACAGATTGGTTTTTCTATTACTCTATTACTCTACCAGCCTGGTGCTAGAGTGGAATTGCATCGGAATATGGGAGGCGGGAGTTAGAGCACTGGCCGATGCTCTATCTATAAATCAGACTTTGGAAGAGCTGGATCTGCGTAACAACAAGATCGGGCCAAATGGATGTCAATCTTTGGCATTATGTCTCAGGAACAACACCACGTTACGATGCTTAGGTACGCTGACTTTTTGGTGCAGATTTTGGAGACAAGCTATCTAATTACTTCCACCAACAAGACTTGCGCTGGAATAACATTGGGCTTCTTGGATCTAAGGCGTTGGTAGATCTGCTGAAATGGAACACTGTTTTAGAGGAAATACAACTGGCCGGAAATGAGGTACCCGACGACATTGCCAGAGCAATTGGTGAGCAATTGCTTGTAATGCCACCGTTGAATTTCCGGAGCTCTTATGCAATACTGTGCAGGCAATGCAGTGGAGCGAAACCGGGACAGGCGAAAACACGATCTACGTATTCGACTCCAGGCTGATCAGCTAACTAGCACAGTGCACGCCCTCACATCGACCCATCAAGATACACTTGCGAATCTTTCAAAAGACTTGGCTTCAAAAGAGCAACAGGTTGCAATGGCAAGCAAGGAGATTTCGCGATCACAAGAGGCTTACAAGATCTTGGAAGCTAAGCTGCAAAAGGCGGAAGCGCAGATGAAAGAGGCAGAAGAAACGCTAATCCGCGAGAGAACTGAAATGAAAAATAAAGTAAAGGAGCTACAGCAGGAGCTCTTGACTGATAGAGAGGTATCTTAAAATCTCACTTCTAGTCGACTTTGCAGGCACTCATCCTTGACCCAGGCTAGATTGCGGCTTGAAACTCAGCGCGAAAAGGCTTTCTCCGACGCCAAACGCCAGAGCTTGGAATTAGAAGCTTCCTTGCGGGAGGCGGACGTCAAAGTAGAGGTGTTAAAACGAGACAAAACTATGCTTATTGAGGAGCTTGATAAAGTAAAAGATAAATTAAAGGCCATGAAAACCATGTACGAAGGTACTTCCCGGTCACTCAGTCGGTCGGTTTCACTCGCGCAATCACTCACACCATTTCTCTTCAAAAAGACCAACTGGCGCGGCAAGACCGTGAATTCCATGAGAGGCTGAAAGCAGTTGAAGCCTCCAAAGATCATGACCTTGCACAAAGCATCCGAAAGATGGAAGATCGCTTAAAGGTCACCGAAAACGCTCGGACTCGAGCAGAGGAGGTATTTTGGTCATGCCACTTTAGCAATGCAAATCAGCGCAATCTTACATGCCGCAAGTAGGAGCTCGACACCCAACGCGCAAAATTACTTGCTGAAAAGAGAAACTGGTCAGAGAAAATAGCGGATGCGGAGGCGAGAATTCGGAAGGAGGAGGTATGCTTTTTGACGAGTACTTTATTATGGCGAACTTCTTCTTATGAATGCTGTTTGCAGGAGGACCGTCGACGTGAGCTAGAATCCGTACTCCAGGCGCTTACAAAACAGCGGGATAGCTTGCAGGTAGACGCCGCAAATCATACCCAAATACATTCGAAGGTTCTTCGTGAACACGAGCGAGAGCGCGAGCGCTGGCAGCAGCAACGATCCCAGCTGCATGAGGAGATCGCCACATTGAAAGCACGACAGGGGGAAATAGAGAGCGCTCTTGCAACAGCCAAAAAGCAATTGCGAAAGGCGGAAGAAACGTCCAGTGAGCTTCAAAAGCTCAGGGACGAAGCTGTTCGAGATCGATCAGAGATTGCAAAGCTGAAGGAAGATGTTGCAGCTCGTGATCGTTTGGTCGGTAGGCTCAAGGAGGAGCTGAAACGAAAAGACCAGGAGTTGGACGAGAAGGACGAAGAAAGCATGCTCCAAATGAAAGACCTTCAACTGAGCATTACTTCGCTTCTAAATCAGCGCACGAAAAGACATGTCCGATCACGGTCAATTGAAATGGCACTATCATAGTTTATAGAAGTGGCAGTATTCTAGATATTACATTAATACTTATGTGGATAACAATGATGGTAAAGTAAGAGTTGGAAGAAAATCGGATTTTCATCCTTAAATCACACATGTTGATGTGTCAATCTCTGGTTGCCGGGGTTTCTTTGCGTTGCAAATCTTCCAAAATCGCAGAGTCTCATCCCCCGCACCCGTCACTATACTCTGCCCGTCTGGAGACATGGCAAGATATACGACTCGAGAGCCGTGGCCTGTTAGAGTCGCGACTTCTTTCAGTGACGTCTCTGTTTGCTTCCACACGGTTATGTGGTTTCGGGAATAACCATGCGTGCTGATAAGATGTTCTGATTGTTTTCCCCACGCAAGGTTGCACACCTGCGAATTTGTGTCTATCTGCTTCATGGCATGTCCTGTTTGAACATTCCATATTCTGATTTTCCGATCGGCGGTCCCTCCGCCTGATGCAAGCATATGTCGCTGTTTTGCAAAATAACCGGAAATCAGTGGTGACTTCGCAGCGGACCATGACTTCTATAACTCACTCTATGCGGTGACCATGTCAGTGCCTTCACGGCGGCTTGATGTGGGCTCGCTGGTGTCCATATTGGTGTATCACTTCGCTTATCCCATATTATCAACTGGTTATCGTTCCCTCCGGAGGCCAATTGAGTTTCATCTGGACTCCACTTTAACCCACACACCTCCGCAGTGTGGGCGTTGAGAATGCTGACATGTCCGTAGCGTATCCGGGCATCCCGTTGCATGATAGTTTTATCCCGGCTTCCAGACGTAAGAAGCTCACCGTTCCAGGCAATTGTACCTGAAAGGAAGGACAATGTTCTATGTCAACCAGCAGAAATGGATAACCACCATGAAACATCATGGTAACTCACCGACCCTTTTGGTGTGACCCTTAAATTGTCGGACCTTCTTCTCCTTTTCAACATCCCAAAGTTGGACGAGCCCGGTGTCCGTGCCTACAGCCAAATGAGTACCCTTTTCACAATAAAAGTTGGATTAGTGGCACGAAAAATGGATCATAGCATTCAAAGTACTTACTCTTTGCATCCAATTGACGGAAGTAATGCTATCATTTGGGCCTAAATCGCAAAGCTTTGTGACCTAGTGAAACTTTCTCTTTAGATTTTGCTGGTAATTTCTTGTCTACCGCTGTATTCTCTACCTTACTACTGGCGGCACTCCATAGGTACACACAAGTATTTAGGCCAACTCCAAGGATATCTGTAGAGGACCAATCTATCAGGTTCAAGTAGTAGTCGTCCTATGTTGGGCAAATAGCTCAGCGGCAATTTTGGTTGAGGTAAATCGTCAGCATATGTCCAACCTGTAATTCGGGGGCGTCCAGGATTTTATAAGGACTACGAGGAATCTCCCAATGGCCCCTCTGCGGTGATCGTACCAAACTCTGACTTGCCGCCGAGAGGGATGATCGTAGGTATTTTGGACTGAGGGCACAGTCTGGAGGCGGTGGTAGGATTCGTTTCTGTGGACTTGGACCAATTAAGCGCCCTCGTTTTGACGGCGTATCGAGTAGTTCTCGATACATTAAAAGCGAGTATGTATCTTCTGGCTCGTCTGTAGTACCATAAAGGATTAGTTGATCTGGTCTCGAGGTAAAACAGTCAATCATATCCACCTTCTCCGTCAACCCGTGGTGAACCCGTAAAGGCATTCCTCATCGGTGATCTGAGTGCATGTGCTGAGGCGTTGCGACATGGGGATGTCATCAATATTCTAGTTTATTGCGCAGCAGCTTAAATATCAAAGTTCTAGATTCAAAGGATCTGAAAAACAATTCACCTGTCGTTGTTTGATCGCGGGCTCAAAATGTCGTCAATTCGTCGTTTATTTCTCCGTGGGGTAGAGGGCGCATTATTTCCACACGACATGGATGGACTAGGGAGTGCGCTTGAGTTGATTGACGATGGTCGTGATCGGACATGCTGCGAATGTCGGCTACTTGGGCTCTCTGGGGGTTTTGGCCGATTCGCTGACATTTGCAGCAGATTTCGAAAATGGGGATCCATGACTGCTGAAGACTGTGTAGCAGGTTCTGCGTCGTCAACAAGCGACAATACCCAAGGTCGCAAACAGAACCTCAACAATCGACTTGCTCGAAGCGCGCCCAACGCGTCTGCGCACGTAAGCCCTTGGAACCACATTGCAACCGCAAACCAATTCACCGGGCACGATGTCATTTTTAGCCGACCAACGTCCGTCTCCAAGTCGTGCGGCACAAATTATTTCGGGCTTTTCAAAGAACGACGCGATTTTCATTTAGAAACGAACTGCTGTCGGTAAACGACAGATTTCTCTTTTTGCACCGTCCTTACCAACCGTAAGTTCATGAACGTTGTTATTGTTTTGTGTGTGTGCAGAGAACTGTAAGCTGAATGTTTCTCATTTTGGGAAAAAGTCTACGAGGTCGTGTCATAATGTCATCTGCACTTTGTCGTCGCCTTGGCACAAGTGCGGTGCGCGCTACGCTGAGATCACCGCGCCTCGCTTCTGCGTCCATCTCTACCTCCATTTCCACAAGGGGCATCCGCACTGGTAGTCTCTTTACCTCAGCTCCAAGTGTTAGGTAACATTAGGTCGCGTTCCAGTCTGCAGTTGTTACCGGAAGTATTTATCGTAGTGCTTGCTTTCAACCGTAGACCACGCCTACCTGCCAGCCATGCGGTATTTCGTACTAGTCAAGTGCGCTACATGGGTAAGAATTTTTTTGTCCGGGTTTCAGATGTGTCCGTTTTGTGCATTTCTCACGCCGCATTTAACAGCCGATAAGGTGGTGAAGTTCCCACCAATGGCTGAATCTATCCAGGAGGGAACTCTCACGCAATGGCACAAGAGTAAGCATGCTGTCTGATCTTTTTCGTGCACAGCACTGTCACTCAACTTTGTCTTTTGTCAGAGGTTGGAGAATTCATTGCTCGTGATGAAGTTATTGCAACTATCGAAACGGACAAGGTAAAAGCCGATAATCGACTTACTACTTTGTGGTGTCGCTAAGTGGGCCTGCACGATAGGTCGATGTTACTGTCAATTCTCCGGAATCCGGTACCATCTTGGAACTCTATGCCAACGAAGGAGACACGGTAGCCGTTGGCGCAAACATGGTCAAGATTGAACTTGGCGATGCACCAAAGGAAGGAGCTGCACCCTCACAGCCAGCACCAGAAGCGAAGAAGGAGGAACCCAAGAAAGAGGAGGCAAAGCCTGCTCCAGAGCCACCAAAACCCAAAGCAGAGGCTCCAAAACCACAAGCACCGACACCAGGTATGATCATGAGGAACGATGAAGATGATCGACCTCATTTATGCTGATGGCGTACTCCTGCTTTCAGCTCCGCAGAAACAGGCGCCTGCTCCGTCACGTGCTCCGTCGAAAGCTGCTCCATCTCCAGTCGCTTTCGACGCCGAAGACTTCCCTGGATACATGCCTGGCTCGCGTACAGAACGTAGGGTATGCATTTTGTGCTTGTAGTCGTAGATGGCATGAGTGCCCTCATTAACCAGATACATAGATACCGATGAGCCGTATGCGATTAAAGATCGCAAAGCATTTGAAAGAGTCACAAGAGACTGCGGCTTCCTTGACCACTTTCAACGAAATTGACATGAGGTTCGAGACTGGCTTCTGCATAATCCTGCGCAATAGTGCATTCTGACTTGTATTCCAGCAATTTGATGGAAATGCGTGCCAAGTACAAGGAGCTTGTTGCTGAGAAGCACGGCGTGAAGCTCGGATTCATGGGTGCCTTCATCAAGGCTACCAGTTTGGCGCTCCACGAGGTTCCTGGTGTTAACGCTGCCATTGAAGGGGATGAGATTGTCTATCACGACTACGTGGACATTAGCGTTGCTGTTGCTACTCCAAAAGGGCTGGTTACACCTGTTCTTCGCAACTGCGAGACGTTGTCAATTGTCCAAGTGGAGAAGGCTATGGCTGCTCTTGGAAAGAAGGTCTGTCTCAGGGTCGAAGTCCTGTGCCGTGTATGGATTTACCAATTAAGATTGACCAAATACTTGGTTTCACTTTAGGCCCGTGATAATCAAATTACCATTGAAGATCTGGCTGGTGGCACATTCACTGTTTCGAACGGCGGAGTCTTTGGTTCATTGTTTGGTACCCCCATCATTAATCAACCTCAATCAGCCATCTTGGGTATGCATGCCACAAAAGAGCGACCTGTCGTCGTGAATGGAAAGGTAGAGAACAGTTGATTATCTCCCTTATCGGGCGGTGATCTCATGCCGTATGGTTTTTAGGTTGAGATTCGTCCTATGATGTACGTTGCACTGACCTACGACCACCGTGTGATTGATGGTCGTGAGGCGGTAACGTTTTTGGTCAAGTTGAAAGAGTTGATTGAAGACCCCAGGCGGATACTGCTGGACCTCTGAGCAGCCCTCAAGAGAGCAACGGATGTGGCGGGCGTTTACATTGTTAGATTAGGACACACTGAAAACTTTTCTTTTCACTTGATTGTGCTAGGCGTCATCTCGTGCCTATGTGCCTCATAGATTGCGTTCCCATTTTTATTGTGCTCACAGAAGGCTGCTGCGAGCTGTCTATTTGCCTCTGGCTTGATGTGCAGCGTCGGCGGTAAGAAAACTGCGGTAAAACGTTATATATATTACTTCGCAGACAAAATCCAGTATCTACAAAAAGGTCGTATCCTTTCAACTGCACGTGTTGAAAACACGGTTGCCCTTCCCAACGCGGGAGGAAGTGTAACCGCTTATTTAGCAGCCTGGTACTTGGTGACGGCCCTGGGAAAGACGAAGGGTCAATATCGAATGTCCATTGATGAGTAAATAACCATGCGAAAAACATGACTCACTTGGTACCCTCAGAAACGGCGTGCTTGGCCAATTCCCCAGGGAGAATAAGACGGACAGAAGTCTGAATCTCACGAGAGCTGATAGTAGAACGCTTGTTGTATGCAGCCAATTTAGAAGCCTCTCCGGCAATACGCTCAAAAATGTCGTTGACAAAAGAGTTCATGATTGACATGGCCTTGTTCGAAATACCAGTGTCAGGGTGCACCTAACAAATATAATGGTTAGCGCCAGTGTGTAACGTTCCCCTTTTCCTGTCGGAGTGCTGCATTTACCTGCTTGAGTACTTTGTAAATGTAGGTAGAGTAGGTCTCACGACGGACGGTCTTTCTCTTGGACTTGTCCTTCTTCTCTCCTGCTGGAGCTTTGCCAGCGGGTGCCTTACCAGCAGGCTACACAGTTTGGAATTTAGCGCGTTGTTTCTGGGACCCAGGTTTGAAAGATGATTACCTTCTTTTCGGCCTTGGGAGCAGCAGCAGCTTCCTTGGGAGCCATTTGTATTCGAATAAACTGGAAAAGATTTGGTGGAGATGAAGCGAGATGAAGCGATGATGCTGGCGCAAAGAGTTGAAGGGGGGAGAGGTGAACGCTGTTCCCTTTAAATAGGCGTGGGGGAAGGTTATCATGTGGACGCGCTGATTGGTTGGATTTTGAGGCATCGTCATGTCCGAACGAACGCGTTCATCCGAACCCCCAAATCGCTTGCTGGTTTTTTTTTTTCAACAAATGGAGGAGAGCGACAAGTAACTGCGGAACAACGTGAAAAGCAGAGGGTCCTCTTAATATAATGCGTAGTGGAAATCTCTATGGTTTGGGGTTGCGGATGAGCGTTTGCTGTCGGATGCTACTCCATCGGTCAAGAAGGTTTATAAAGCATCCAAATCTCCCGCTTGACACCAAACAGTACTATCAAAAAGAAATGCCAAGTGGTATGGCCGCAATGATAATTCATCCAGAGCTCATCCCACGGCTGTTCTCAAGCCCCCAAGGCAGAAACGCTCCAAGGCGAGCGCTTGAGGTCAAATGCTAGACGAGGGGCGCGTGTCCGAGTCCCGTGCAGACCAGGTCACGCAATGTCCGAACGGATATAACACAAAGGCGCTTCATTCAAACCTTTAGCTCTTCCGCCCCAATCTCTTTCGCAACTCTCCTCTTTATCTCTCTGTAATTACAATGGCTGGTGGGTACATGACACGATGGGGGGAAAGAGGCCACCCTTCAATCACGTTGGTTTGTAGAGTCAATCTAACTTTGGGGCTGCCTTACAATAGGTGGCAAAGGCAAGTCGGGAGCTGAAAAAGCTGCCAAACCCGCCGGCAAATCGCGCTCCTCCCGTGCTGGTCTTCAATTTCCCGTTGGCCGTATCCACCGTCTCTTGCGCAAGGGCAACTATGCTCAGCGCGTGGGAGCTGGTGAGTAACAGCAATGCAGAATTTGTTTTTGCTGCAAACATGCTCGCAGTTCTCATTACAATTTCACTTTTTTCAGGTGCACCTGTGTACTTGGCTGCTGTTCTCGAGTATCTCGCTGCGGAAATCCTTGAGCTCGCTGGTAATGCTGCGCGTGACAATAAGAAAACCCGTATCATCCCCCGCCACTTGCAGTTGGCCATTCGAAACGATGAGGAGCTGAACAGGCTTCTGGGCAACGTCACCATCGCTCAAGGTGGTGTCCTTCCCAACATTCACTCTGTCTTGCTCCCCAAAAAGTCGAAAACTGGAAAGGGTGAAAAGGGCGGCTCTCAAAGCCAGGAATACTAGTCCGTTCCCAATCCGGCAATGAAATAGTGTACTTGTGTGTGTGTATATACTTTTGAAAAACAGCTGCAGAATATATCAAAGCTTGTTGCATTTGGTCAACTCTCGTCCTTTTGACCGGCAGAATGCAATGAACCTCTCGCCGCAGTCGAAAGCTCAAATGCCCCCATCGACAACCTTTCAATTGGATCAGCCTTCCGTGTAAATGTGACTGTGCCTGACAGTGACTTAAAATCATCTTTTGTCTCACAAGATTTCAAAACCTTTTGAATTGACTTTTCAACAAGCCTTTGCAACTTATAAACACCCCATTTCACATCATTTCACAGTTCAAATCCCAATCAATCCGCAGCTCCATGGCAGACGAAGTAGACTATGAAGCGCTACCTACAACCTCCGTCGCAACCAACATGCTGGCAGGAGCACTGGCGGGTATCACAGAGCACACTGTCATGTATCCGCTCGATAGTGTGAAGGTCGGTACCGAGCACTGACACAAAATCCCGCAGTCTGCGGCATATCAACACTCACAGTTTTTGTTTGGAGTAGACCCGAATGCAAGTTCTATCACCAAGTCCACAAGCCATATATAGCGGTGTCGCCAATGCACTCTCTCGCATCACAACAGCTGAGGGGTTTGCTACCCTGTGGCGAGGAGTAAACTCTGTTATCGTTGGTGCAGGACCAGCACACGCCTTGTATTTTGCGTCATACGAAAAATGTAAGGAGGTCTTTAGCAACATGGACAATGGATACCACCATGTATCACACGGTATGTTTAGAATCTGTCATGTTCGGAATATCTTTGGCACTTAACCTCATGTGCAAAATAGCGATGGCAGGAGCATGTGCAACTATTGTCAGCGATGGTTTGATGAATCCATTTGATGGTATGAATTATTTTGTTGTTGGATGATTGTTTAAATCCAAGCACTGAAAATGGCTCCTATAGTCGTCAAGCAGCGGATGCAAGTACACGGGTCCACTTACCGCGGCGTAACAGAGGCAGCATTGGACATTTTCAGAAAAGAAGGACTCAGCGCATTCTACATCTCCTATCCCACAACTCTCATGATGACTATCCCTTTCCAATCGATTCATTTTGCCACATACGAGTACTTTCGCAAGTATCTGAATCCAAGCGGAAAATATGATCCAAAAACTCATATCGTTTCCGGAGCCATTGCGGGTGCGGCGGCAGCGGCACTTACAAATCCTCTTGATGTGGCCAAAACACTTTTGCAGACAAGGGGAGCGGTCGTTGACCAGACGATCAGGCATGCTTCTGGGTTGGCTGAAGCATTCCGTCTCATTTACCAGCGACATGGTTTGGTCGGATTCACGATGGGGGCACGAGCGCGGATTCTATCTCATATGCCGGCAACGGCCATCTGCTGGACAACGGTACGAGCGAAAGTCCTGGTTTTGATGTTGGCTCTGGTGTCTAATGTTCCTACTGCAGTATGAGTTTATGAAAATGATTCTTTCACAACAACCTGGATTCCAAAAAGAACCCATTCAACTTGCCGAAACACCTCAGGGCTAAACCACCAACATATTCGAACACGATAGGATACTGGGGTTATAGAGGAAGGAGGCCTGACTGACAGCGTCACATCTACGAGCGAGTTGAGAGCTCGTCATAAGAAGTGACGGCTCAGGACTTCTTCATTTAGTGGTGAGGGACTGCCAGAAGTATTCGGAGGTGCTGAGGGCAGCCCCTTGATTACTGTCGCTGTTCCGTATTTAAGGACACCCAGTATCGAACATAACTGGTGTGCTTAATGTTGTTTGCACTATCTAAATTCAATTTTTGTATTGCTCGCTCAATACACACTTATAATTATATATCATATCGACGAAAAGGAGTCTAGTGGCCAGCAACTAGAAGCGTTATGCATTCTTGACATTCTCAAAGTTGTTTTGCAACAGTCTAGAAAGCCTAGGCAGGAAGAGAAGAGACCCCGCTAGTAAAATGACGCAGATAAACAAAATGGTAGGAAGGCATGATTGTGGGAGAATCCCAAAGACGAGATGATCCAGGACTAGACGGGGATTTTCAATAACATTACTAATCCAAGTTGATAATTTTTGCCGTCTTACCTATGGTGTATGGAATACGAACATTAACTTTATCTCTCATGAACCTTTGCGGTACGCCTGCATGCTTTGCTGTCAGCCGCAAAACGAGTTCCGATGTCTGAGCAGGACAATTAATGCTGGGATTGGGCCACATCTTTCAGTCTGTCGATGGTTTGAAAGCATACCGTGCCAGATACCGGTACAAGCTCAAACATCCAATCGGCGGGTGCCTTTCCCAGCAAGGATTTATAGTTACATGGTTGCTCAAACGGGTGGAGGAGCAGATGATAGACACCTACGGTAGCAGGCCAGCAGACGCGAATCTCATATGTAGCTTTTGGATTTAATCGGCGTATGCTATAATATCGCATCGTGTCAGCCAGTGGAATGTCATGGTCATTTGCCCAGTAATGCCTTCTCTCGTCGGAAGGCAGTGCCGCTTTGAGGTGGTCTTGGAGTATTGAGAAGGGTGCTTCCAAGGCAGTTCTATAAAAAAAAAGGATGATTTGTTGGGAATAGGTGTCTCTTGGGTCTAAAGAGTCGCAACAAGACCAAGCAAGAACTGACAGGTTGGAGCGTTCAGATATGATATTATGCAGCCAGGAAGTTTCAGTCGACGCAAGCACTTTTGACGGACAAAAGATGATCTTTTCCACGTTGGCATGGACGGGGCACCATAAAAGACACCATGCCAAACATGACCCAATAAAGAACGACGACGACCCTCCCGTTCGCAACCGCGGCGGCGGCGACGACGACGACGACGACGACGACCGTCTTGTTCTTCTAGTCATTAACCCAGTTCCCAGCGACGTTTTGGCCGATTGTCTGGCCTTGAAGGTGGCGGCACAGTCACATTAAGGTACCATCATCCCCTTTTCAGCCCTTCCCAAATCCACAACAAGCCCCCCACGCAAACACACGGACCGCCCTCCTTTCCCTTTGCCTTTTTTATTTTGCTTTGGGTCGGCAATTGGGGTTGGGAAATCGAACAAGGAAATCACGGCCGGCCATTCCCCCCCACCGCCATCGCTTTGAGCATCGTTCTCGTTGCCTGCACAAGTAGTCAGTTGCTACGCTACACAACCGCCACCCGCTGCGATAATCAGAGGGCTGCAAAAGGCGCACACGCACAATCAACTTGCTCGAGTTCTCACTGACCGTTCGTTTTCGGCATTTTAAAAAAAACACATCTCCAGTTTGTCAGAATAGCCAACGTTGGACATTTGACTCTTTCCTGGCTTCTCCCTTGAACTCGTTTGGTGTATACGCATTGACGGTCCTCGCCCCTCAGCACCCACGTCTCTATTGTGAGTTGATCATGGCCGAATCATCATCGCGCAGACGATTAGCGTCTTTTGCCGACAGTCTTTGGAGGCAGACTATGGTTTTTACTGATTATTTTTCCTGCACATATTTTCCTTTTTATCTCTACGCCAATATCGACATTCCGTGATATTTGCATCATCAGCACGCTCCAAATTGTATGATGGCGGAGAACCAGGAGGTTGACGTGGACTCGATTATCGAACGTCTCTTGGAAGGTACTTGTCCCAACGTGCGCAGAAAGGCGAGCTGCCAGCCCGTTCTTTATCAACAGCGCCTCCGCGCCTTTCTTGGTATTGTTCAATTGATCACCTATATTAACGCCAATTTTTGGTGTCGCGCTTGCCAATTTGTAGTACGAGGTAGCAGACCTGGGAAGCAAGTTCAACTTGCAGAACACGAAATCCGTTACCTGTGCACCAAATCCCGGGAAATCTTCATCAACCAACCTATCTTGTTGGAGCTGGAGGCACCGATCAAAATCTGCGGTAAGCTCGTTGTGGTGTATCGTTTTTTGGTAAAACACCAATGTCTCGGAACCAGGGGATATCCATGGACAGTATTACGACTTGTTGCGGTTGTTCGAGTACGGCGGCTTCCCACCGGAAGCTAACTACTTGTTTCTGGGCGATTATGTCGATCGAGGAAAGCAGTCATTGGAAACGATTTGCTTGTTGCTAGCATACAAAATCAAATACCCAGAGAACTTTTTTGTCTTGCGTGGAAATCATGAATGCGCAAGCATCAACCGTATTTATGGGTTTTATGATGAATGTAGGTGCATTGTTTCTCCCCATTTTTGTGCGTGCATGGAACGCTAATCTTTGGAATTTTTTGATAGGTAAGAGGAGATATAACATCAAATTGTGGAAGACGTTTACGGATTGTTTCAACTGTCTCCCCATTGCCGCCATCATTGACGAGAAAATCTTTACCATGCACGGCGGGCTATCTCCTGATTTGCAGAGTATGGACCAAATTCGGAGGGTGATGAGACCAACTGATGTTCCGGACACAGGTACGCCTTTCAAGGCGCTTACACAATCACATGTGATAACTAACGCTTCTTTTTAGGGTTGTTATGTGACTTGCTATGGTCTGATCCTGATAAGGATATCACTGGATGGAGTGAAAATGACCGAGGAGTCAGTTTCACCTTCGGTCCAGACGTAGTTACTCGCTTTTTGCAAAAACATGATTTGGACTTGATTTGTCGGGCGCATCAGGTTGTCGAAGACGGATACGAGTTTTTCGCAAAACGACAGCTGGTGACATTGTTCTCCGCACCAAATTACTGTGGAGAATTTGATAATGCGGGGGCGATGATGAGTGTAGATGAAACGTTGATGTGCTCGTTTCAGGTGTGTATAAAAACATCACTTAAAGTAGGTCTGATGGTTTGTTTTCTAATGTATTTGCACTTGCCAGATACTGAAACCTGCAGAGAAGAAAACGAAATATGCCTACGGAGGAATGAACTCTGGCCGGCCCGTGACACCGCCACGTAACAAGAAGAAAAAGGAAATGGCAAAAACTATGTAGGACGTTGTATCGTTGTTTGGAATGCGTATTTTGCAGTCACTGGGTGTTAGCTTACCGTACTGGTAATCGGTGGTGATGTGGTTTGGTTGGGGGTTTTTGAGGATTCGTATTTGGAGAGAAAAGGTTGTTTGCGTGATGTTGGACCACGACATGCATTTGGGATTTTTCCGCTTGCACAAAGACGTCCCCTTTTTTCATTAGCCTGTGTATTTAAGATACGGGTTCGAATCCCCGTTCCAATTCCCATCCACTGTCCATCGATTCTCGCCTATAGCCCTGTCTTACAAGTCGTGCATTGACATTTGCACGATGATGCCTGTTCTTCAAATGTATCTCGAAATTGTTTAACGTCTCGCCTGGTCCTGTTTGATATAATTTACCTACAGTCCAGACAAAGTCAACAATCTATGCAGACAACCTCTATTATTTTTACTCAACTCACCTGGACAATCATAACACTTGAGTCTGAGTTCACCCGTTTTCCCTTTTGGCACAATTTCAAAAGTATCATGCGGATATTTTTGCATGAGGGCGGATTTGCATTCTGGTAACCACCCCGGAATTTGGATCCGAACAGGTTGTGGCGGGTGCAAGGTTGATTCTGGAAAGGAAAGGGGGGCGGGGTGCGGCGGTGGCAGCGGCGATGCTGATGGGTTCTCGATGCCCATGTTGGGTGGCGACGTTGGCAGTGATGCTTGGTGAGGTTGAGCAGCTACCCGTAAGCCCTGTGGTGACGTGGTGATTTCCATTGGTTGTTGAGATGTGAAAATGGGTGTCGGGGGGTGTGGTGCGGGTGACACTGGGCGCTGTCGGTTGGTTTTGTGATAATAGAGACCTAAGGGTGTCATGAGAACAAAAAAGTCAGCGCATTGTAATGGAACGACAGAAACTGCAGGTGGGGACTGACCGCAAGTATCACATAGAGTCTTTTTAAAAATCAAGAGCGGCAGAGAAAGTGAGTATTCGATCAGTAGTTGAGACTGCCGTGTATAAGGACAATGCCTTACCTTCTCGCCAGTTGGGCCCTTTCGAAGCAAAGGCGTATCCTTGGCACTAACTCCACAATTCCGACACCGCCATCCTTACAGATCATCAAGTTAGCATAGGTCCGAGACTGGGCTGTAATGGCACCCGCAACAATTACCTCGTGTCAATAACACTTCAAGAGGAAGCGGTGGTGGCTGCGGTTCCCGCTCCCGCTCTTTCACAACCGGAGCGGGTGCTAGTGGAAGGTCGACCATACCACGATGTCTCCGCGGAGGGTTTCGCCGTGTGACGGGTCCAGCCAATTGAGGGGCTAGCGGATCCTGCAATTCCAAGGGATTATACTGTAATGGTCCAGTGCGATTGGTTTTCGGCGCCTCACGGTCGGGCAGGGCGATTGCGCGACGACTACGTTGCGTTTGCCGACGCTTTCGTCTGATAATGCAGCTTCCATGTCAACAGGACAACAAAAATTACAACCTTTCCATGATAGCTCATACCGCGCATCTCTTTCTCTATCCTTTTCCATCTTTTCAATCTCCAAGTCCGTCACGGGGTTATAATACGGGCCAAAAAGCGCTTTGGCTTTGGGGGGTCGAATGACACGGGAAGCCTCAATCGGCGGTAGGAAGCAGGAAGACAATTCGTCATCGTCGATAGGCTGCCCATCGAAATGATGATCAACCAATAGGAGGGACTTTGCAAATGTTTGGACTTGCTCTCGTATTTGATGAGCGATGGCAGTTCTGTACAAAGTATTAGAGAATGGCCAAGAGGAGACCTAGGAAGATTTGCGTGCAAAGGAACGGACAACTCACTTGAATTCGGAGCCCAATCCTAGCTCATTGCACATATGATCTGCAAACAGCTCTGGGTTGTTTCTCCTGCAGTTCAGGTCCCATTCGAACTGGTCCACCAAACAGTGATTCCCAACTGTAATATCAAGCTTAAACAAGGATGTCAGCCCTTTTGTCAGAGTGGTCTCCTTGTTTATTTAAGCATACCTTGATGATTGCTCGCAGCTCTGGGGCGTCTTTGTTCCCGCTATCGATGCCATCATTTCCTCGTGTATCCTGCTCGGCTGAATGTAGCACAGATGGTGCGTGTTGATAATAATCGTCCACCTGCTCACGAATAGCTCTTGCTATATGTGGGACAAAGATGGCAGCCGGTAAATGCAAATCATCGCATAGCATTTCAGCGAACTGATCAGGATTGATCAGTGTTTCTGGGAGATGTGCATTAATTGGTTTACGTTTTTACAGTCTCAACACACAATATCCCTCGTTAGAAATACCATTTAGATTCCAAGTGAAAGTGTCGCGTAGTTTGATGCCTTCGATCTCCAGATCCAAACGTATCGGTACTAGCGCCTCCTCTCTTTCAGCGATGTCAACCATTTGGTTCTCTGTACTATAGCACGAATAAGTTATGTGAACATAAATCACGTACGTTAGGAAAAAATTATGACAATTCTTACAAGGTCAGCTCTTCCGTCAATTTGCGCTTTCGTCGAAAAATAAGTTCGAATGGTGGTTGGGGGCGCGCCAGATCCATCGCGACGACTCGCCGCAATGAATCTACTTCCTTGGCTTTTTGATCCATAAGCTGTCGCTGTTGGAGGATCTGATGCTTTAAAGCTTCCCCATAAGCCCTTTCGCGATTCAAATAAATATTCAAACTTTTTTCCCATAAAAAGGAAGGATCTCTCTCGATAACGGATAGTTTTCGCACGGCCGTCTCGACTGTAAGTGCTTTTTTAGTGAGTTCGCCGTTTGGATGGCTGGACTGGAATGAATGGCTGTCCTCTGGGACTTCTGGCTTGTGCTCTTCCGTGTCAGAGTCCATTTCATCCTGCGAATCATCGGCCATCGGATCATCATTTTCATGATCCGTGGGAGGTAAACCATCTGGAAGGGGATCCTCTGATGGCTCTGCTGACATCCCTCGAACAGCGCCCGAAAGAGGGATTGGTTGTGGTATTGCCGCGAGTGAGCTCGTATGCGGGGTTGACAATGCGACCGAGTATGGCCAAGGAGTGGAAAAATGTCCTTGAGGCGCTACTGGAGCGGCTGGAGGTAATGTTGCGGACGAGGAATCCAAAGGAACGCTGCTCGCAGGAGGTACTCCATGTGTCCCTATTGATGGAAAGGACGACGATGACATGCCCAAACTCGTTGAAATATTGTCGAGTGTATGGAGATCCTTAATTATGGGGGAATGAGAGCCGTCGCTGCCGCGCACGGTCGCAGGGAACGTTGACCCAGATATTGATGGTTGTAAGTTCTCAGCAGGCCTATCTGTGGGCGTTACCCATGAGAGGGGCTGAGGACGGGACACGCCTTCCATATGCACATGTGCAATAGTTCCAGCCTGACGCTGCTGTGATGTCGGCGGGCCAAAGTCACCATAGGAGGGGAAATTGGAGACGGTGTCCACGTTTGCTTCGGCAGAAGACGACAAGCCGGGAACGAGAGTACTGGGAGGAAATGATGGTGCTACCGAGGTCAGTACTGGATGCGCTGCATCATTCGCTGTTGATGGGGGCAAGGAAACTTCCGCAGTGAGCGACGCTGCCGGACTAGGAGCACAAGCATCTTGTGGTGTAGAAGCGGAGAGGGATCCGCAGCCTGATTCAGAAGGAATGTTGAAAGGAGGTTGTGAATCGGTATCTGGAGTGCATTTTGAAGGTGCAACAAAGGGATCTACGGCTAAAACTTTGCTGATCAGTATATGACGCAAACGCATGGAATCACAGATCAGGCGAAAAAGAAGCACTATTTTACCTTCTGGTGATGGTGACTGGTGAGGAACAGGCTGTGTAGGGCTGCCCACCACTGGATGTTCTGTAGGTTGAGAAAAAGTAGGGGACTGTGGTGTCGATGGAGGCAGGGCGTTCGGAAACGACGGCATTTCCAGGGACTCCAATTCCTTGCCATTGGGAGGGTTGGGAGGCTTCCCATCCTCGTTGTCAAACATTGCGCAAGCGCGGGGGACCGGGGGAGAGAACAACAATGTGCGCTAGGGTTATAGGAATGGTGCAGAGTGGGAAAAGAAAGCAATCCGATCACATTCTTTCATTAACCTGAATCCTCGTCGTTTTCTCCGCTGGCCGACTTTTGGCCTTTGGGATCAGACGCCAGACGCGCGCATCAACATTTGGGCTGAATGAACAGTTTGGGATGAAAGGAACTTTTTTTTTTTTTTTATTCTAAACAAATCACAGCCGAGAAACAATACAATTCACTAAAAGGAAATCACCAGCATCGCCATAAAACTCGCTTTTTTCTGCGACGAACATTGGAGGGGATTCGCACGGCCATTCGCAATCGCATTCGCACTCGCACTCGCATTCGCATATATTCACTTTGCACAAAACTTTTGGGACGACGCATTTGCATTAAGCATACACGACACACATGGCAAACCACCACCTTGGGCAAGCCCAAACGGCACGCACATCTTCTCTTCAGTCAGCCCAGTCTCCCTTTGCGCACCACGCAGTTCAGTTCACAACAGGCGCTCTCGCTGCCTGTGGTGCCGTTACTTTTACAAACCCTTGGGAGGTATGAATGGGAAAATAGCACGAGTTATAGGCTGTTTCTAGCTTTGGAAAGTCTGACCACCATTCCTTGATAGGTAGTGAAAACACGCCTGCAACTGCAAGGTGAACTTGAGCGCCGTGCTCTGCCCCTTCGCCTTGCACCGTCTGTTCCGAATACGGTGGCGGCAGCTCCTCATCCTTACGGAAATGCCTTCTCTGCCTTTGTAACCATTTTTCGAAATGAGGGCCTGCGGGGAATACAACGAGGATTGGGCCCGGTAAGTGTATTTCTCTGGTTGCTCGCCTCTATTCGCATTTCTTATATCGGTTTGCACTGCAGGCCTATGCGTACCAGGTTCTACTCAATGGCTTTCGTCTCGGTCTCTATGAACCAATAAAACTGGCTTACTTGCGTGCTTTTGATATGACCAGTCACGGTCATGCCACTCAACTGCCGGCGATGATTATGGCTGGAGCGACTTCCGGTATAATAGGAGCCTCAGTCGCCTCCCCATTATACCTCGTCAAAACCGTAAGGCTTGATATTCTTCATCTCTGAGTGCTATTCGTTCAACCTGACTGTCGGGATAATAACCTTTCATCTGCTCCTTCATAGCGCATGCAATCTTACACAACTACGTCGACTGCCGCGGTGGGTGCTCAGCACAGTTATGTTCAACAGGGCACCGTGCGTGCGCTTCAAATCATTTATCGTGGAGAAGGATTGCGCGGTTTATGGCGAGGTGTGGACGCGGCAATGTTACGAACTGGAATAGGCTCCGCAGTCCAGCTTTCCAGCTACGACTCCTGTAAGCACTTGTTGTCACAAAGCGGATGGTTCAATCTTCATGATGGACATGGCGGCCTGGAACTGCATCTCGCAGCGAGTTTGATCACGAGTCTTTTCGTTTGCATTGCGATGAATCCCTTCGATGTGGCCAGCACGCGAATGGTACGTTCAGTTCATGCATTGCTTCTGTGGTCGCTTAAATGAACTTTTTTGTACTTTTGAATAGTACAATCAACGAACAGCTGCGGATGGGAAGCATGGTGCTTTGTATAAATCAGGGATCGACTGTCTCGTCAAGACTGCAAAAGTTGAGGGCGTAGCTGCCTTGTACAAAGGATTCACAGCACATTATCTGCGGGTGGGGTGAGTATCTGAGGCTTTGTAATTACACGAGCGACTTTTCTGTTATTGACAGCTTTTTTGTCCAGACCCCACACCATTCTAACATTCGTATTTTTGGAGCAATTACGAAAAATGGGACGAATTCTTCTGCCGCCGCAATGAATAGGAGAGCATGTAGCTTGTAGATTGCAAGCGGAGACATAGCATCCATAGATCATACTTATAGAGCTCATAGAGTAGCAGTCGACATTCGTCTGGTGCTAGCAAGACATTTTGGGAATACTACAGCTGCAAGGGACAAGACAACTTTGACCAGATGCTATGAATTCACGTCGATTCAAGTATACAAGTTTAAATACATTTACACGGAGTCTCACATGTCAAGCAAGAGGTGATAAAGTGGCATGATGGACGGGGTTACCGACTTAGAACGCCTGAATGACGGGCCATGAATCCTGAACCATATAAAAATGAGCAACTGTAGACGTTCTCAGATCCCCAGCCAACTCACCTTTGAGCCAGGCGTTGTGCTCGGCCAGTAGAGCTTCAGTTCTGGTATGCCCTACCTCCCATGCTCTCTTGCGATGCTGGCTGATGGCCGGGTTGGAAGGACTTGTTCTGCTGCGTATCTCATCAGATGAGTTGTGGAGAGGTGTTGTCAGTGTGGCATTCGAACGTTCCGGTGATTGTGGATGTCTGTAGGACGGTGTGCTGGAAATGTAATAAACAGGATGCTGTAGCGTGCTTGAGCTGAGTCTTCCTCATGTAATCTATTGATGAATACCTTGGTATTGTGCGCCTCGCGCTGGACGTCGAGCGGAGTAGCCCCAGTAACTTTCCAAGCTCCCCTTCAATTTCGTCCAAAGTTCCGCTGCGTTGCTGCTGTGGTAGAAGTGTCAATGACTTGTCTGATGAATGACAGTGTTTGTGCTAACCTGTTTGCCCTCCTTGATTTCATAAGACACTAAATCACGTTTCGTTTCTTTTGCAACAGGAGCGCTAAAATCGTCATGCTTTTGCGCTAGCTTCTAACCATGAAATATAGGTACGAAGCCCGGAATCAAATCACATTGCATGAGCACGCACCAGAGATATTTCCTCAATATCATGCTTCCATTTGGATCGCGCTGCTTCCAGCTCTTGCTGTCGTGCGCTGATGCTTTTACGCTGACGCTGCAGGAATTTCTTTGTCTTTTTGATCTGTTGTTCTTCTTGAGCGAGACGATATCGGAGCTGTGTGCTTGGACTCTGTGATCTACTCGATACAACAATGAGCTAACACAATCTTAGAGATGATGTAGACACACATGTACCTAACACCGAACAGATCATCAGCTTGCAAAGCATCCAAAGATAGGCCAAGTTCGCTTTCATCAGGTTCATCCACAATGACTGGTGTGGTGACACCTTCAGAGATTTCAGATTCTAACCAGTGAAAACCCAAAATTAGCACCTATGCCACACTGACGCCTGTGAGACGACAAATACCAGGGGAAAGGTCCCAGTTGTTTTCGTGCCCAGCATCAAGGGGAGTTTCTGAATTTAGGGATTCTGCCAAATCTCGAAGTCTTCGTTGATAGTCTTCTTGAATTATGGAAATATCCTCTGCAGGTTTCGACTTCCCTTCGACCTCCTGCGCGGCGTCTCCGGTACCCCGGACGTCCAAATCCTTTGGCCTCGTACCGTCAAGTCCGTCTCTCTTCTGCTTATGCCCACCTCGACCCCGGGCAAGAACCTGCTGTTTATCAATTTCAAGCAACGCTGCTTTCTCTGCTTCGACACGTGCGCGCAAACGGTCCACTTCGGCTTGAGCAATGCGAACCGCTGCACGATCGGATTCCAATTTCTGGCGTTGAGCAATTAGATCTGCCTCGAGAGACGCTATCGCGGATTGCTCACTAACGATATGTGATGGCCGCTGTGCAGATGTCAGATTTCGGGCTTCCTCTTGCAGCTGATCGCGCTTCGCCTTGAGTTCTTTCTCCAACAAATCCAACTTTAGCTTCTCTCTGTCCAACTGCTCCTTCTGATTTCGCTGCTGCTCTAGTTGCAGTTCGCTCTCGGACTGTAGAGCTGCTAGTTCAGCCTCTTGCCTGCTGCCGGCATCTAGAGCGCTACTACGAGCTTTGAGGCCCTTTTCTTTGCGATTCACCTCAGCTTCTAGGGTCCGGATCTTCGCTTCCCATTCTCCCTTAAGGCGCTCCAATTTTTCCCGCTGTCGCACACGTTCCTCCTCTAGTGCAGCGTCATTTTGCTCGACGAGATCCTGGCGTAGCCTACTTGTTCGTAGTGCAGTTTCCCTCTCATAAGACTCGCTCATGTCTTTTTCTTTCACCTCCCTTTCTTGAGAGAGCCGTCGAATCAGCGCATCAAGGTTCTCCTGATGCTCTTCCTTGACCTTCTTTTCCGCCGCACTTCGTTCTTTCGAAAGTTTTCGCTCAAGTTCATCTTGCAACTGCTCTTTGAGGTCCGCCATCTGTTTGTCAAGTTTGGTTCGCTCATCCCTCTCCATTGCTGCCCGCTTCTCTGCAAATTCTTCCTTCAACTTTGTCAATTCCTGGTTATATTTTGCGAGCTCATTTTTTCGGACCTCTTCTAGAGCCTCGGCATTTCGCTGTTTTATATCAGAAACGTCATTCTCAAACTTGAGCTGCGCTTCACTCATTGTTTGTTGTCTCCGGGACAGGGACGACTGCTGTTCGTCAAATTGGGATTTCTGCGTGGCTTCAAAGTCTCGCAGCTGCTGCTCATATCGTCTTTTGATTTCTGCCGTTTCCTGGTCGTATCTGCGTTGTTCCTCCTGCTCAACGGATCGTCTTTCAGCTGCATACTTCGTCCGCAAATCAGAGATATTGCGTTCTGCCGCCTCCCTTTCGGTCTTTTCGGTCTTCTCAATCTCTTCACGATATTTGCGTCGAATTTGATCCGACGCAGAGGATGCTTTCGTCTTTTCTTCATTCTCAATCCTCTCTAGCTCTGCCTTCCACTTCCTTTTGATTGCTTCCACGGCAGTCTTATGCCTTTCTTGCTCCTGCTCCTCCATCTCATCAATGGTCTTTTTTGGTTTTCCCTCGGGTTCCTGCCCTGCCATGACGCCAACCATATTCTTGGGATCCTTGGGTCTAGCGTGCATTATCAGGTCATCTTTGTCGCTGCTGATATCGAAATTGAAATCGTCGTCTTCGTTCACCCGGCTTTGTGACTTTTGACCTTTACTAATATCTTGTTGGCGAACAAGATTATCCAATATGTCATCATCCTCCTCGTCGATGTCATCCCAGTCCACATCTTTATTGGCAGAGGATTCTTCGTCTGATTCAAGTGCAGGCTTCAGACCGGCGGTACCAAGCTTTGTGGCATTCCCAAGTTCCGTCGGCTATATTGACTCCATTTGAGCATTGAATGACTTATGATTGTGCAGAACGGTATTCTGTACCTTATCAGTTTTACCAGGCGCTCCACGCTGCCATTAGACAGATTTCATGAGCCACCATTCGATTGTAGCATTGTTGCGGAATGAACAACGCACCAATATACCTCATTTGGTGGCCCTTTCGCTTTCTCGCGCTCATACAAATTCCTATAGTGCTCGTCGCATGGGTGATCCCAGATACTTTCTCCCGTGGTAAAGTTGAAATAATAGATGTTTCCGTCATCCGTTTGGCTGTAAATTAAATTGTGTGAATAATGGAAGATTTATATCCATCGTCATTGATATTCTAATACCATGGCTTCCAGTTCGGTGGCAGCGGGGCCTTCAATGATTCGCGGGCGATCCAGAGTAGATGCTTTTCCTTTTCGGGATCTATACCGAGAAACTTGGCATAATCGAGAATCTCTGCTCATGGGCGTGTTATTTACATTCTACCGCACGGGTGTCAGAAATATGGATAATGAAAAGTATTCTCATACCTTCTTGTGTGGGCTCATAGTTTTCGTCAAACCTATCAGCAGAATATTTCAGCAGCGCTCTTGGAGATCGGAAATCAAGATGTGAACGTACTCCTCCTCTAGGATAGTTTGGTTCTTCATTGGCGCATTGGGGGGTTGACGTGGGTCGGCAATTGTGGCAGGTGATTCGTACTAGAATGTAGGCGAGGTTGGAACTTTCAACGCGGTCTGGTGCGCGTTCCGTAATCATTTGGCTGGAATCGGTTGCACTCGGAATTATTTCAATTGCACCTCGCACTTTATATAAACAAACGACGCAGGCCGAAATCTACGCTAAATAATATATAGTACAGGAACGTCCACTTAAATATTACTTTTAAGTATCTCAAGTCTCTAGACATGCGCTTGCAGCGTGGGGAATCGGAGCTATGTAGGTTGCATTTCCTCCTGTTCTGAAGCTATTGGTGCTTGTTCATGAGGTATTGGCGGTGTTGGTTGCTTGGAGCGCGCTTTTGAACGTAGTCGGACTGCTGGACTCGACAAAGCTCCCCGATTTGTATGCATAAACTGGTCTCTGATTGCCTTGACTCCGTTGTTGAGCTGAGCAATCGAATACTTGTACTCTCTCAATTGAGCTTGGTACATATTCAGCTCCGTTCCCATATGTTTGTACTGCATTGTTTTGTCTTTGAGGATGTGCCGATACTCAGCAATTTGCTCCAGTGCTTCAGGTCCAACTTGCTTAGCAAAAAGTGATTTGAGGTGCAAATACAGTGTTTCCTTGCTGTGAATAAGTTGCTCCTTCTCAGCCTCCTCTTTACTCTTGGCAATCAGTTTCCGCTGCAATGTATGAAGGAGCTGAATCATGTCAAAAGCTTTTGGATTTCGCCCTTCTAGTTTTCGCCATCGATGGACATTGATGGGGTGCTTCAGCTGTTCTTCCAATGCCTTTATCTTTGTCTGCTCGTGCAGCAGATCGTTGTCCAACCGGTGAATAGTGTCCTTCATGTCATTAAAGCTAGCCGACTCTGATTTTAGAGTAGCGTTCTGACGACGAAGCTCGAGAATCTCTTTCCGCAGATGATTGAGAGATTTTAGTCGGTCGCGGTAATGGAGCTCGCTTCGAAGCAAGGACGACTGCTGCAGCTTGATGGAATCGTACACCTTTGCAAGTTCCTCGTTTTGCCGGATAAGCTGGTTGCTGAGGTTGTCTCGTTCAGTTATGAGAATTTTTAGAGCGTTCTCTTGTCTCGATCTTTCCATTTCCGCATCTTTGACGAATTGATTTAGGCGACTGGACTCGGCTTGCTGAATTCGAATATAAGCCTGGCCAAGTTCATTCTGATGCTGTAACGTATTGATTTCCTCTGTGATAATCTCAATATCCTTCTCCAACTTTGCATGTTCTGCCGCCTCTGCCGCCAAGGCTTGGTTCTTAGCATTTATGTCTTCCTTGAATCCGTTGATCTGAAAGTTCATAATTTTCAACTTGCGCTTCATTTCGGTTATTTCGCTCTGTGCTTCTATCAAATGTTTGCTATGCAGGTTGCGATCACTCTGAACCGCTTCGTACAAATTTTGCTGATGTTTTAGTTTTGTGTCCGCTTGTACTGTCCGCTTCTTGTAGTCAAAAAGTTCGATTTCTTTAGCTTTGATCTGTTGAATGCCCGCAACGCAGGAACCCTGTAGGGCTACAGACTCTGTAATATAAGCATCACGCTCTGCTTCCAACCGCTGCACAGATTTTTGCAGATCAATGATTTCCCTCTCATATCTGGCCAGTTCGAGTTCAATGTTGTGGCGGGCTTGTTTGCAGAGAACCAACATCTGTCCATGCTTGTGTAGTTCCGTCTGCGTCTTGTGAAAGTTGGCTTGTAAGATATCCCGTTCGCGTGTCAGATCGTCAATGGCCTTTTTGTGTTGGTCGATATTCTTTTTGGCGCGCTCGATTTGAGCAAGAGCGTCCTCACACTCGCCGCGAATATCCTTACGCTCCAGTTCCGCTTCCAATTTCTGCTCCTCCACCTCCTGTATCTTCTTATTCAATGCGTCCTTTATTCTAGCAACTTTCTTCACCTCAAAAGTGTTTTTTTGAAGCTCGGCCTCGCGTGTCTTGAGTTCGTTGGCTAATGCTTCGTTTTCCTCAATCAGGTGAGAAGTGGTCGTCATTTGTGAGTCGGCATCTTGTTGTAGTTTTATAGTCCGGATTGTTAGACTCTCTTGGTCCTTTAACAGCTTTTCCATCAAGTTCTTTTGCGACTTGATCTGGGATTCAAGAATGGAAATATCATCTGTGGCTCTGTTGACGGAATCTTGCTTCCCGCGAACTTCTTGTGATTTGACTGCTACCACCACCCGCAGTTCTCGCAAATCTCGTTCAAGACGCTCCTTATTCCTGAGCTCTGCATCAATGTCTGCTTTCTTTGTGGCGCTTTTGTCTCTCAATTCGTATATCTCTCGCTCTAGGTCGCGCTTTTGCTGGTCAGCAGTTTTAATCTTCTCGGACACATCCGCAATAATGTTTCGCAGATGTACAATCTTTTCAAGCTCTTCATCAAGCTCTTTTGTAGATTGCTCCTTGGTCTGGAGAAGCTCTTGGAGTGCCTTTTCCTGACTCGTGCTAAGTCCTACACCTTGTTTCAGAGTGGCATTTAGATTGGATATGTCCATCTTCAACTGGCGTAGCTCTTCCTTTGCCGCTTCCTCTCTTTTATTGCTGGACTCCACTATCTCCTCCGCCCGCTTAATCTGCGCCCGTAAAACTTTGATAGTTTGCTGATCTTGAACCGAAGCTTCCTTTGCCTCCTGGGCTTGTGCCAGATTCACCCGATACTCATCATAAGAAGTTTCATATTGGGCGAAAAGCTTTTCAATGTGCTCCCTTGAGCGGATTACTGCACGGTGCATTTTCTCGTACTCGATGCGGAATGGATTTAATTCATCGTTCTCGGCTACCTCTTTCCATGCATTGTCGTACTCTATTTCCATTGTTGTGTACATAGTATCGTGCTGGGCTTTGTCATCGGCTCCTGGCAGATCCTTTACTGCAGGTAATCTTTCTCTAACATTGGAAACAGGATCGGACACATTTGCAATGGGTGGGGCTGGGATACTTGCGTCCGACTCCAAGTGTGACCCCGACGCATCTTCCGGTCGCAGAGTCTCGCCAGAAGGCGGAGGAGTTCCAAGCTCCAGGGGGTCTGCAACTGGGGTTTCGGACGAGCTGGCAAGGGGTGTTTCCTCAACATTTTCTGTGAACTCTTTGTTTTCTGCAGGAACTATCTTTTCGGTGGATGTCTCGACAGGCGCCAATACTTGTTCTCTCTCCGTCTCCTCCGCTTGTTGTGTAGCCGTATCGCTTGCGGACGATGCATCTCTTCGCATAGAGCCTGCATTTGCGGCAACTGATGCTCGTCTTGACTTTTTTATGCCTGATGATGTCTCGCGCCGACCAGACATCTTACGGTAACTGACGAGATGGGAACCAGTATGAGTTCTGAAATGATCCGACGCTTGGCTAATCTATCACGTAATCAAAAGAAGGATACGAACGGAGGATTGCTGGATAAGAACAGTGTTAGGGTTAAATGCAGGGTGAATGGCTGTACCACGGGTATCAAGGGTGTCATTGCCTAGTCTTCTGGGATTGTCTCTATAAAAAGTGACCTCCCTATCCTTCCAGCGCCAGGATTTCCCGGGTGATTATGAAGCATTTATCCATCTTCGATCTTCCTGCTATCGCTGTCTGCTCAGCTGAATTCCTGCAAGTGAAATTGCGACTATTGATCTCCAGTGAGATTGTCCGTTTCTAATGAAAATCGCTTGTGATCTTGCGTAGCAGCGTCTTAGCAAAGTCGGTAGATCGAACGGATCGGCACGCGGAAGTGCATTGACCTCCCTAAATTTTCGCTTAAAGAGACATGAAGAAAAATCAGGATGCTTTGCGATTAAAGAGGGCTATTGAGGCCTTTTCGTACATGGACTGGGACAAAACCGACGAGCTTTTTCAGGAGTATAAAGACATTTTCTATGCAAATGATGAGCAAAGCCAGAGAGCAGTTGAGAAAGTGATCATTTTGACCCAGTCAGAGCTGGCAGATGTTCTGCCAGGGATTGAATTGACTCAGCGAGAATCAGGAAAGGTGAAGGATACCTTAAAAGCGCTGTTTAGCATCACCGAGGTATCGGACGCCGTTGACACTCAGAAGACAAAGGAACCACGGTACGAGGTTCACGTAGCGCGACTTTTGACTAGTATTGCTCTTCTGAGCCCAAATGCGGAGAATGTAAACGAGGAGGAGAAAGCAAAGCTTGCTTTTGACATGATCGACTTGGATGGAACGGGGTACGTTGTACGTGACGAGCTTCGAGCCACAATTCATCACTCGGCCTTGGACAATGCACTGCAGTTATCTGATACAGAGCTGGACGCTGTTGCTGACGCTCTTATGCAGCACATGGACATCAAGGGCAATGGTCGTGTTACTTTCGATGAGTTCAAGCACTCGATAAACACCCGCGATGCCACACTGAATCCACTCCAAGCAGATAAGAAGGCCGCTGACTTCTTGCTACGAAGTAAATCAATTCTTTTGGACGAAGACGATGAAGAGGATGACAGATGGACAGTGTGGCGAAGAATACGCATCTACATGTCGTTACATGCTCGGGAAATATCATGCCTTGTTTTGTACGCTGCCGTGGACGCCGCAATGTTTATAGCCTATTTCATGAGCGTATACCAAAAGCCGGCGAAAAGAGAAGCACTCGGTATTGGTGCAGCGGCAGCTAAGGGCTTTGCGGGAATATTGTATTTCAATGTTCCACTTTGTTTCCTATCTATGTCACGGACGCTGCTCACGTACGCGCGCGGTACCTGGCTGGAAAGCCTCATTCCCTTCGATCATGCCATTTTGTTCCATCAGATAGTAGGCTATGTTATCGTCATGGCTGCCATTGGTCACATAGGGTGTCATTTGGGCAGCACGTACGTGAAAGTTGCTAATTTGGATGATCTGAATGGATTGAATTCAGTAGTCAGTGGAAAGCAGTTTCCGACTCTGCCGACATATTCGGAGCTCATTATTGAAACACTGCCTGGAATCTCCGGGCTCATTGCGACTCTTGCGCTCCTAATCTTGGTGATCTTTTCGATCCCACAATTTCGGCGCCAGCATTTCAATACATTCTGGTATTCTCACCATGCGTTCCTCGTCTTCTCTGTGGCCTTGCTCATTCACGGGATTTGGAAATGGATTCAGTTTCCCCATATGTTTATGTACCTCAGCATTCCTCTATTGTGGTACTTTATTGAACGACTTCTCCGAATATACCGAGCCGCGTACCTCAAATATGATGCGACTGAAATTAAAGCCCAAGCCGAGAAAACAGTCAAGTTGAAGCTGACTCCACGGAAGTCGCACCGAAGGTATCGCCCAGGACAGTACGTATTTATCAACATCCCGAGCATTTCAAGCATCCAATGGCATCCATACACGTTAACGAGCAGCCCACTAGAGGACAGTCTCGTGGTTCACATCCGAGATAATGGCGACTGGAGCGGGGCTGTTGCGAAATTGGCAAAAACGAATCCCGATGCTCTCAGAAAAATAAACGTGGATGGTCCTTTCGGAGCTCCTGCCCAACACTTTGAAGACTTTGAGAACATCATGTTAATTGGTACTGGTATTGGGGTAACACCGTTTGCGTCGATTCTCCGAGACCTCCAGATTCGGATACAAACAGGGAACCAGCAATCATCAAGGCTAAGACGGATTGATCTCTTCTGGATTAATCGATCTCGTGGAGCTTTTAGGTTTGTTCTTGAAACAAAAGTTGATCCTCACGCCGGCACCGAGTATTGATTTTGTTAACCCATATCTAGTTGGTTCACCCATCTCTTGAAGGAGCTTGAGCAAAATACAGCTGCAAATTTTTTCCGAGTTCACACGTTCATAACATCTGCAAACTCGTCACGAGATATTCGTTCGGTATTGCTGTGGAAAGGATTGCAACTTGTTCGGCATGAATCAAGCGCGTCAATTCTGACTGGTTTGACGCGCGAAGCATATTGGGGCCGTCCTGATTGGAACGTAATCTTTGATCAGACCGCAGCCAGCTTTCCAGGAGGAACTGTAGGTGTTTTCTTCTGCGGACCGGAGATTCTAGCGGAAGAGCTGTGGGATCTATCAAAGAAAAAGAGCGCAACCAGCAATTGTAGATTTATTTTCCGAAAGGAGAACTTCTAGAGCTAGGATTTGTAAGATGGACTGTAGTTAGCGTAGCTGGAAGTTTGACCTGCCAAAGCGGCAAAGATTAGCCTTAGTCTTTCCAACTGTGTTGACTGGCATTCATGATCGCTGTCGGGGTCTGCTTACGCACATGCCATTTTTCCATTTTTGGGTTAATGATCGTTGTTGCCATGGTCGGCACTCGTCCGTGTGGAATCACAAATTCTGGTCTTTACCTCACCTTGAACTGTAAATTCCTCCAACGCAATGGCGGATAGCAGCCATTCGAGCACCAAACGTCAACAACTAGAGCAATGTTTATCTTTACTATCATCAGAAACCAGGGATGAAGACAACTTTGTAGCGATGTTAATACTGCCTCGATTACTCGATCCGGTCTCCGACAAAGAGTCCTTACACTTCACATTCGACCGCATGAACTGGCGTTTTGTGGATCGATTATTAAAAGCCGGTGAGGGAGAAGTGCGAAATATCATTGATTATAATTGCAAAAGTATGCTAAAAGGTGGGGAACGATACGACTCTATAGCGGAAGATACAGCGGATATACCAGCTGACGCTCTGCACACAATTGCCGTGAACCTTCTAGCGGGCTTTTGCTCCGATGATGCGCTTGCTACTCGTCCTGGTGAGTCATATTGTTACCTTTTATTGGCTTGGTTTGTGGTGAATAACACTTTACTTATCAGATGTTCATCATATTCAGAGCTTCTTATGCGTATCACATTGATGGGGAATTTGCTGGCAAATATTCCAACACCTTCCGAAGCAGTACTCGAAAGCATCCTCCAATGTTTCCAGAGAATGGTTATGTCGCGAAGCGGATTAGATCATCTCGGTCCTGTGCTACAGACAGTAGTGTCTACTGCACTTGACTCGCGTGATGCTAATTGTAAGCATAACCACTTGCTCTTATGAGACCTTTTTTATTGACTAAAGCTCATATTAAACAGCATCTATCACGAAACTGGCGTTTTCGGTTGTTGAGACGTATGTGCGGCAGGCGAATGCCTATCGAGGTACTGAAGATCCGACCGGTTCTGCAATGATTGACAGCACGCTTTTCGGGATATTGCCCACGCTTGCCGCCGTCTTTTCTAATAATCAAGGGCAGCTCAAATTTGATGTTGGTAGCCTGTTGATTGAACTGTGCTCAGCATTACCCGAAGAGCAAACGGATAAGGCTATACCACTATGGGCGCTAGAAATCCGGGAGGGGCTTAAGGATGTGTACGGAAGCAAGATTGGTATGTTGTAGTTCTTATCTGCACCTCATGTGCCACGAATCGCTAATTCTCGTTCAGGCACAAGCCAGAGAGATATGTCTTTAATCTTAGCAGCGACAATGTTTCGGCGATTTGGTTCAAGATGGGGTTTCACCGATCAGCAGATTCAAAATGCAAGAACGTCTCGGCTTTCGGTTGAACAATTTGTAGCGTTGCTGATTCACGTGGCGTGCGGGGAGCTCCGTGTCCTGCTCGACGACCTGCCCGTCAACAGCGTTACGACGCCAGAATCACAATTTGTGGCCATAACGCCAGTATGTTGTGAAATTGTCGATTATTCCATGCGCGGGCTTGTGGAAGAGAACGGTCCTATATCCATCTCCGTCGACGTCTTGCTTTCAATCAGAGAGGCTTTGCATGAAGCATTTACCGCTATCAGTGCTTATCTGCTTGAAGAAATGGTGAGCCATTTACCTTAGTCCCTACATACACTGTTCAGCTGTTGACCTTTGCAATTGGAAAGGCGGAGTATCGATCCGAAAACGATATAGGCGTCTTGGACAATGTAGTCACGGCATCGTGTCTTAGGGCGCTATCATCATGGCTGGCTGAAGATGATACCCTCTCTCCACACGAGATCCGGCATATTGTTCCATTGCTTGTTCTAGCAGGGAGAAGACGGTAAGCAGGTTGTGACGACTAAGTATTTATAATGTAGCTTATTGCTGTCGTTGCAGAATGAACTCTGTTGGCGTGCATCCTATGGAATTTCTCGGTCCTGCTTTTGTAAATATAACCACGGACCCAGAGATTGGAAACATATTTGTGGATGAAGGCGGCTGTGCCATGGTGGTCGATTTTTGGTCCATTCTCGACTCGCAGTCGCCTTTGAGGCTCACACTTGTTAGCATCCTTCTCAACATTGTTGCTACCAATCGTAAAGCGGTGTCGGCAGACAGGAAGTTCATAGACGCGACCCGGTTACTTCTGCGGGATCTCGTGGAATTTGACCACAGCGCGAAGCAGGATGGGCTCACTTTGCGGGCTAGTATGACGACTCTTTCGTTGATGATCCTGCGCGAGCTCAATTCTGATCAAGTTGAGAGTAATCGTCTGACTGTGGAAGGATTGCTTGAACAAGGTCTTTCGTTTATACTCGATGGTTGCAAGGCATCGCTTGGCAAGGACCAGCAAGCATGGGAGGAAGTTAAGGAACTTTGGCTTATAGCGGTGGCTGCTTTCAAAGATTGCATGATCAAGATCTCAGCCGCGGCCTCTACCATATCACAGAATCCTAAGCTGGCTTGTTTGGTGGATATGCGGCGAAGTGAGTTGGTTTGAATCGTAGATACCACAGATATGCACTAACAATTGAAAATATGTAGATCCACAACTTGGCCTTGAGATGAGGGACGCACTGGCGAATTTACAAATATCGTCACCTGGCTAAATGTGTACATCGTGTCCTGTCGATCGTGCAATGTAAAATCAATAGGATCCAGTATGGAGACTGGCCACTGCCATGCGCTTTGATTCTGCCTGTCCTAGGATTACCAAAGGAGCACGATGATAACGGAATGGCTTCCCCATTTAGCCTTGCAAGTAAGCTACCCTTTCCAGAAGGTCAGATAACAAAGGTCAACTTCTTTGCTGGCGCGACCTACGAAGTGAGGTCCGCAACTTGGATTTAAGAAATAAAAATATTAGCTCATTTCCGCTGCTATAACGAGGATGAAAGGCGTTTGCGAGCTGTGCATCTAGTAGGTATTAAAATGTTCCGGTGTAGCCCCTCTTCATCATCCTTGGATACCTACCTTCCACAGACTTGCAGCAAAGGCAGCCGAACAGTACCCGTCGTATCCACGTGATACATCTTAGTCAGCAACGCGTACGGACAGCCTTTGCATGCAGATCCTTCGTGGGTGGTAGTTCACCACCACATCGAATATTATGTCGTACCTTCCAACTGCTCTTCTTTCCGACCTTTCAAGACTCTCCACACAGGGTCCTAAGCCAACTCCTGCTAGAAAAACCTCAACTAGGGCCAAGGCCTTCACGTCTTCGAAAGCCGACCCTCTGCCCGAGGCCATCGCTTCCAATACTGGTCTCGATGCTCCTTCAACCCAATCGACTCCGACAGCACATGTACAAAAAGGCGCATACACAGCTAGTCCAGCATCCCGTAGCACAATACAACGAACACCAGCTTCGCGAGTGGCACAAATCTCTCGACAGGCGCCTGGAATTAACGACGATTTGTCGTTCATATATGATGCTGGACACGAGCGTAACTTTCACGCGGAGCAATCAGAGGATGTCAGTCGAGACACAGGTGGACAAAGAGGGCGCACTCAAAGTTTTCCAGGCGACAGAGCTGGATCGGTGACTGCCGACAGTATGAATATAGTTGCGCCTGGCGTTGGCGCCAATGGGGTGGGTGAGCAGCAAATAAGAGTTAATCATCTGGACAACATCTTGATTTACTGGGTTTTGTCTGCAAGCAGTCTTCCAACGTACCCGCTTCTTCCGAGCACCAACTCAACCTGGCTGCGATGCGACCCACCACTCGCAAAGAAGTTGCTCTCCTCAAGCATACAATGGAAGCACTAATAAAAGAAATTGGTGCAGAAATGGATCAGGAATACCCAACAGAAATGCATGCATTTTTAGCCATCATTCAAGAAGAGCAAAAGATTTATGATGCGGTATTCCAAGAGCTGATACGACAGGTGACGGTCAACATGATCGAGCGCGGGGAAGTTTTAGCCGAAATTCGAAACAGATACGCCAACATGTTCACCAAGATCCCAAAACACGTCAAGCACTTACATACGGAATTGCTGGCTCAGAGGAAATTGAATAGACGACTATCACACGAGTTATTACGGTCCAAGGAAACCGTGGCGGATTTGGTAAGGGAACTTGAGATCATCCGAAAGCATGATTTGGATGTTACGAAACAAGCCCAAGATGCGCAGGAAAAGCTAGTATCTGTATTGACACAGTCGGACAATACGGGAGAGATATTGGAAGAGTATCACAAGCTTTACAGAATGCAACGTGATCGGTTGGAGGACGCCGTTCGGTTGGCAGAGCAAGAGAAACGCATCTGGGTTGACGCAGCGACGGCCTTGGCTCTCCGAATCGGTCAAGAGCACGGCATTGCCGATATAGTTCTTCTTCAGAAGTACGAACATGCCCGACTTCGAGCTACAAACCACATGACAGTCATCATCAGTAACACTAACGATTCGCAACTCCACAACATCGAACGAAAGATTGAGGAATGGAGGTCAAAACTTATCCGATTGTCCCAGTCTGTTGTCGAAGAAGATCAGCATAATATTGAGACTTTGGCTAAAATGCAACGAGATATGGATATGGTTCTCCGCAATCTCGACACTGGAGATCAAGTTGATACCCTTGAAGTAGAGCACCCTTTGCTCAAAGCTTTCCAAATACACGATGTCAAGAGTTTGTCCGAACACTTGATGAAATGGGTGGAACAGATCACATCAGTAGCCATTAGGTTCACGAGCGATAGAGACTTGGCATTTCAAGAGGACATATCGCAAATCCGGAAAGAAACGGAGGTCTGGATAGAAGGAGGATACAAGTTGCTGAGACGAAATGAGAAGAATACGAATGGGAAGGACTATCTTCCTCTGACAGAAATACTGAGCAGAGTCGGGTTGGAAGTCCAAGAATGGCTAACCAAACTGGAAATGCGTGTGTCAGGAGAGGATGGAATTGCCAGTAATGTCATTAACTTGCAAAATCAATTGGAGGATAGGTAGTTTTTTTTTTTGATTTTCAAGGTTCGCTGTCAAGTGGATAACCTGACTAGTTCTTTCTTGTAGATACACGACCTACAGTGCGCGGGACCTTGACAAGCCATTACCATTTTCCGAGCGACAGTCGCTTCGGGACTCACTTACCAACTGGAGCGCCCAAATTGGCAAGAATCTCATTGGTACGTTCCTCTCAGAAGATGCACCGGAGAAGATGCAATCCGTACGGGCAAAGGGTAGTATAATGTGTGAACCACCACCCTTTGATCACATATCTCGGAGGATCAAACGGTGAGACTCCCAGATTATACTACCTGTGATCCCGCGCAGAGATTCTTCCTCCGGAGTGTAGATTCCTCAATTGATTCAAACTGGTTATGTCCTCAATTCTAAACGAATGTACTTCCTCTCGCTAGATACATTGTCCAACACTACGGAAAAGGAACAACATAAGATTCCTCTACATGTAGAGAATTGGCTCTCTCGCTTACTCGATCAATTGAATACCGACACCGATATAAGAAACGAAGGTGGGTAGTATAGTACCGTCATTCAGTTGGGCAGTGTCCTCACTTCTCCTTGCCACAACAGAGAATATAAAGTTACATACGACCATGATTAGTTGGATGGTTCACCTGCTGGTAAGAGCAGGCCGGGAGAAACCAACAGATGCCTGGGACCATGAATTCGCTCAATTGACTCAAGAGGTACAAAAACACCTCTCACTGGCGATCGCAATACATGTACCAGTGACGGCTAAGGTCGACTTTTCCCTCTTGTAGCTGGCGTCCTTCAACGCTAACCTTATGCGAGATGCTGCAGAGATTCAAACTCTGTCAGAAGATGGACGCGATTTGCGAGAGATTGTTCAGTAAGTCGAGCCTCGTCGTGAGTTCCTCTTGGCGCCCCTTTGGTTGACAATGCTCATATAGAACCCACTGTGAACATTGGGTGACTGTCGCGAAACGGCTCTTGGCAAATGAGAAGAAGAACGCTACAACCCTACACAACGCGCCAAAGCGACCCTTGAGCCTACGAATTGATGAACTAGATGATAACCTAGAGCTGCCTCCTACACAAACCATCCGCTGAATATTCCCAATTTACCATCTAGATATGAGAAGTTCAAAAGGCCGGTTTCCCTTCCTATAATAGCATGCCCGGTCATGCGCAATTGTTCCTGCCACCTTCACCAAGGATAATATCTGTCATCTAATGCTCCTCCGTCTGCTTCAAAAAGACGACCTCTGGCGCTGTGAGCTTGCGTCGCTTGCGATTTGCTTTTTGAGCCTTGTAAAGATCTGTAATATACAATTAATCGGATATAATTAGATCTTATCTGAAATTGATCCGGATCAAATGCATCTTAAAGGCTTGTCATTGGCTGAGGCCATCTTCAGATCTCGTAACCATCGGGGCGTTCGGAAAAGAAAACTGGTGGGTATTCAAAAAAGGACTCTTGAAGGAGGGGATTGCTTTGACCGCGCGTCGTTTGCCATCTGCGTTTCCTTTGCCATCGGGATATTCTTCTTGCCTTCCTCAACCCCTCGGAGCGGATTTCTGATTTCTTTTGTCAATATGGTTCAGCAAGTGATCTCAAAGTCCGCCGCTCCAATGCATTCCAAGACGAATTCGGATGAGGACCTCGACCTCCCGACCGATGATACCCGTGTATTGGGATATGACCCTCTGTGTAAGTCTCTCTTTAGATTATTCGTCCGTTTGGACGACTTGCCGCTTATGACGTTTTCTTTTTCTCAGTGCCTCCACAGATTCTCCAAGCAGAGCACCCAATGACGCCGCAGTCGAAACAAACGGTACAAAAGGCCCGTCGGGAAGCTGCCAAGATTTTACGAGGCGACGATGACCGAATACTAGTTGTTGTCGGGCCCTGCTCTATTCACGACGTCGATGCTGCTTTGGAATATGGTGAAAGATCACATATCATTGCTCCTTTTTTTTGGAGATTCTAACTTGGGTTTTCATAGCTGGTAGATTGAAGGCACTTGCCGACGAATTGAAGGATAACCTCCTCATTGTAATGCGGGCCTACTTTGAGAAACCAAGGACGGTCTGTATTCACCCTTGTTCGTGCTTCAGACCCCTTTTCTGACCCTGCGGATTTCCCATAGACTGTTGGCTGGAAAGGTCTCATCAATGATCCTTCCATTGATGGAAGCTTCCGCATCAACCAAGGATTACGTGTCGCAAGGAAGCTATTGTGCGATCTGGTAATGTTTGGTTAACATGTCACGTGCCTGTGATCGGAGATATTTACAACGTGGTTGCCGCCAGACTGCTATTGGTCTTCCGGTTGGATCTGAGCTCTTGGACACAATCTCTCCTCAATTCATTGGCGACCTGATTTCCTGGGGAGCCATCGGCGCCAGAACAACAGAGAGTCAGCTGCATAGAGAGCTTGCTAGCGGAGTCAGTTTCCCAGTCGGGTTCAAGAATGGTACCGACGGAAACATTGGAATTGCCATGGACGCCATTCTTTCGGCGTCGCACCCGCACCATTTCCTTGGCGTAACGAAGCAAGGCCTTGCGGCTATCACAAAAACCAAGGTAAATTAAATTGATTCTTTATGACCAAACTTTCAAACTGTAACTTAAGCGATATCTAGGGCAACGATCTATGCCACGTCATTCTCCGTGGAGGAAATCAGGGTCCAAATTACGAGAAGCCCTGCATTGACCAAACGCGCACGACTCTCGAGAAAGCCAACTTGCCTGCGAGAATCATGGTTGACTGCTCTCATGGCAACAGCCGAAAGAATCATAAGAACCAAAAATTGGTTAGTGCTAGTTTGTCTGAGCAGATCGCCGCTGGTGATCACTCGATCTTTGGTGTCATGATCGAGAGCAACATAAATGAGGTTCGTGGTCACTTTGTTGTCTACGGTGTTCGCAATCTAAATCAACTCTAACATGGTCCAAAACAGGGGAACCAAAAAGTGCCTCCAGAAGGTCCTAAAGGACTCAAGTACGGCGTTTCGATCACTGATGCCTGCGTCAGCTGGGAGGATACCGTTGAGATATTAAAGCAACTTGCTAATGCACAGCAGGCCCGACGGGAGCTTTCAAGACAATAGATACCATAATTGTGTCGCAGAATAAAATATCACCTTATTGGTCTTTTAATATTTTCAAGACCAAACTTTAAAACAGTGTGCGTTAGACGTAAGCGCTGAAATAACCACGTCATGTCTGGGCAATGACTCACCTTGGCATGATAATCCAACGGCGAGGGTCCGCCTTGCCAATTGCCGTTCTGCACGCAATTCCCCACACACGATGTCGTATTTTCGTAGGTCTGATCTTTATAGCATCATGGGTTGATAAGCCCCTAACGAGTACTTTATCGCAGAGGATCATAATCTTCCGGAGCCTGGAAGGAGCCGTAGGCCTAGAGGCAATGCTCTCAACCCCAATATTGACGATTTTATTACGGATGAGCCTCGTACGTCGACATTTGCAGATGAAATGCGTGAGGCGGAAAATATGCTTGCAGTAGCGAGGTTGGGTGTTGTGATGGATATGTGAGATAAATCACGGCGTATCTAACCAAAACTCCTATAGTCTGTTCGGTTCTATCCGTGACCGCCCTTACCTAGCCGACAACGAAGCACAGCAAACCCTACTAGATAATCTCATATCTCAGCTATTGGAAGAGGCCAACGCGAGGTAAAGTCGCCGTGAGTTGTAATACTGAGTGCGACGTATCTCGCCTGTCCCGAGGAAATCCACAAGATATTGATACTCTGTCCATGATTACAGTGGAAAAGGCAAACCCCCAGCATCGAAGGAATTTATTCACAATCTTCCCACTGTGGAGATTAATGATGAGAAAACTGGTGGGACTTTTCCTCATAGGAATTCAAAAGAGAAGCCTCGAACTTATCGTGGATCATGTCGTTTGGAACAGATGCAACATGCTCCGTTTGCGTTGAATCGTTTTTTTCGCATCACACGTCGACGGGGACCGCACCGACCTCAAGAGCGATCGCAAAGCAGCTTCCATGCCATCATCGATTTCATGCAGAGTGTATCGTGCCGTGGCTGGAACTGGTAGGTTAAGTCGCAAGAGTTTGTTTTGGGCATGGCCGTTCACACATTCTGCTTCGGTTGTGTTGTAGCACAATACATGTCCGATATGTCGGAGAGAATATCCGACCGATGACGAAGAGTACGAAAGGAAAAAGAAAGAGGCAGAACGGGCTGCTTCTGCTACTACGGCACCACTTGAAGACGACGAGGAAGAGGATTGGGATCCGATGTACGGATAATTCCACAAAAAGTCTCTACTGACGCACTCCCAAACGTTTGTTCTTTTCGGCGGTGATGAGAAAGCAATTTGCACATTCATACCATTGATTTCTGTTGTTAATTTATACAAGTTTAATATCGAAGCTGGGTGGGGAGGGGATAGAACATCTTCAAAGCAACAATTTACACGCAGGGATAGAAAGCATTAAATATAGGGGGAAGATTCTACTATAGCCTCCCCTCATTGTTTCGCACATGGCGATCTATAAGGTAGTTCAGTTTAAGAAAACGTTTTTTATCTGCACTTGTCGGTGTATATCCTTCAGTGTATGAAGTAACAGCTCTTATTTCCATGGATCGCGAGCGGCGCGTCGGGGAGTTCTGATGGGGGAGGGCGAATTGGGACGATGCTTTTTGGGATACGGGCTCTGAGTCGGTGTGTGAGCCCTTTTCACAATGTCGAGCGTGGGTGACCTCGGATGTTTTGAATGGTTTTTAATGGGGCTTGGTGAACGGGAACTATCGGTATTGACATGTTTGAGGCTGGTACCTGCTGATATGTTGGGCGATTTTTGGAGGGTTGAGGCACTGCCGCTTCTTGATTCATCACTGTCTATGGGCGTTCCGGGAACTGGTGGTATTGGATCAGACTTTGAGGGCGTGCGGCGGACAAACTCCCGTCTTATTGACAGTGTCTGCTTCAGTGGAGACGGCTCACGAGGGCAGTATGGGTAAGCAAACCTCGGTGAGCTGGACCCGAACGCCACAGGAAGTGATGCTCTCCTTTCCTCCACCAAGTACACACCGTGAGATTTGCTCAAATATCTGTAGTGTGATTTACACGTGAGCGCCGTTCGCCCGGTTGGTGAAGGGGAAGACAATTTCCTGCTGGGCGTAATGGATTGTTTATCCGCGTACTCGCAATCGACCGTAACAGGTTCATCAGAATCCCGGACGTTGTATTCCGCAAAACTGTTCAGACTCAATTCCCCGAGAACTGTACGAGTCGGGTCGAGGGGTGTGAAAATCCGTGAAATAACATCCTTGTTTTCTTTATTCCAAAAGTCTACGCTCTCGTAGCATTCTGGCAGATGTGGAGTGGGGAGGTGTGTGACCATGAAGACATTCACGTTGCCATTGTATTGATTGTATATCTCTTGATCGCTGTCTTCATCACTGCTGTCGGAAATGTCAAAGTCGTGGTGTTTGGGAACATCCGTGTACCGTCGCATATCGTGGCGGCCCATTTTGGTGGTCTTTGGGTCGGGCTCTTCGACATGTTGTCGTTTTTCACCGGACCTTGGGCTTTTTGAATCAGGAGAGTATTTGGATTCCACATTCGGACCTGGAGTCGGACTTGACTCTGGCGCAAAGATCCCTTTGGGAAAAGCTGCGGAGGATGATGAGGGAGCGGTTTTATACCCGCGAATATCTCTCTTCGTGTTAGGCCACATTCGCTGACTCCCTTTATCCACGTCGTCCGTGTGCTGCTTTTCGTCGTTATGCCACCTTGCGGGAGACCCTGATCTCCATCCACGAGGCTTTTTGATGGACCTCGTCACGACGCTCGTAGGAGAATCTGGAAGGTGATCATCTACTGGAGTGTGACAAGACCTAGGGACCATGGGAGTGGGTGGAATGGGTGTGAGCGATGGGTCTCGTATTTGATCAGGAGGTGTCACGACCTCCGCTCTCTCTTTGCCGTGATTTGAGGGTGTGACAGGAGTTGTAGTGCCTTCAAGGACAAACGGGGACGAATCCCCGGGGGATTCTACGAGGAATGGGTTGTCCGTCATTGTCGAACTGGGTGTGCCCAGTGCTGATGTTGGGGGTCTGGGGGGTCGTTGCCTGGATGGCGAGACTGGTGTACTACTTGTCGCAGGTGAACAAGCCTTCAACTCGTCAATCAGTTTACGTCTTGCCGAGCTCGGCACGCTCTGCAACGAAGGAGCAAACTTTTCCGGGATGGATTTGCCCGAGAATAACATGCCCGATTTTTTGGGAGCGCTCCCCGTGCGAGGACGAGGATCAGATGGAAACAGCTTTTTCATAGATGCCGAGGTCACTGAGCGAGTTATATTCCCAGTGTTGAAGGGGCTTGATGCATCCAAGATGGGTGTACGGTTTCGGTGGGGGGTGCGATCAGCGTCCCGGGTGAAGCGGTAATTTCCCGTGTAACTGCCTGGTGTGCGGAGTCCCATGGTGCCGAACGCATCGGCAAGGGAGGAACGAGGCGTTGGTCCCCCGGGTGTAGTAGGACGAGTGCTTCCGATGCGACGCGATAGAGGCGTCTCGGCCGGTCTGCTGGCTGGAGCTGAGCCAGGGCGTGCGGCGTGCGTGCCGGACTTTTGGACACTGGCAAGGGCCATGCCTCCAAGGATGCGACTTAAATTGGTGCCTGGAGTCTCTTCTACCGTCCTGGTCTCAGTAGTGGCGAGTGTGTGAACGGTCTCTGTAGCGTTATATGCACACTCTGTAGTCGTAGGTGCGATAATGGTTTGACTAGTGCGTGCATGATTCGCCTCAGTTGAATTGATAGGCTTGCTATGGCCTTCATCGATAATGCTCTTGTCCTTGTCCTTTGTGGATGTTTTGTTTGAAGTCTTTGGACCACCTTTTCGTGTATGCTGTGCGTCTCTTAACATCAAATCATGGATGTCCCGTTCTTTGATGCAGGATCTGGACCGTACAGGAAGCAGATTAGTTTGTGCCGCATTTGAGCCAAAAGATAAACTAGGGTGAGATAAAGATAGACAAGAATGAGATACATACTTGGAGCGAGTATTTCTAGCCGGTGTATCAGGCATTGTAGCTTGTGTCGCGACAATACCAGATGGATCTTTCATAGCAGAATCACTACAGCAAGGCTTTCTTAGAACGCTATCGCCACTTTCCCAAAAGCAAGTTGAGAGCACCTACCAAGGCGATGACGTGGAAGCGCAGCTTCCAGTACCTTGATATGGTGTCGACAGCACATGGTACTGACTGTCTGTCGTCTCCCGCGGAGGCGAAACCAAGTGCGTCGGACGTGTTCCTAGTGCAACAGATGCCCTGGATGGCTGTCCACTGGCAAGAGGGGAAAGCGACTGGCGATGAAGCTGATCTTGAGCTGCATAATTGTCCGTGCTGGAATCATTGTTGAGACACTGCGCAAGGTCAAAAATAGCGACAGTAAAACTTACTGTCCACTCTGAGACCGGGAAGTATTTGCCTTTCTTAAACTTGCGTTGGCTTTGGCGTCCCAGCGCCTGCCAGAGCCAAGCATATCGTCAAGGCAACGAACGGTAACGCGAGGGTGCAGCGACGACGACAAGGTCGCCAATGGAGTTTGTCGTAAACGCGTATAGGATAAGCGTGCAAAACGCGCTGCTAAGCGGCAGCGTTGAACGCGTCGCGAGAAAGAAGGGCGAGAGTAGCGTTATAAAGCTGGACAGTCCTCCAACAAGCTTTAAAAAAATGACAACGGCGTGGACGTTACTAACAAGGAGAAGGGTTGGGGAGGGAGGCGTCGGGGCTGAAGAGGGTTCGACTTTTTATGCGAGAAATCCCAGAGGGGAAATGAAGACAACGATTCAAATAAAATAGGGCGGAAAGCCACAGGAACAAATGAAATCACCTCCCTCATGAACCGGTGATTGGAATTCCGACAATCCAGAAAAGCAAGGGGAAACAACAGCGTGACTCGGCGTCAAATGATGAATCTATTTTCATTCCATTCTAAGACTGGTTTGCTTTTGCCCACCTCGTCATTAGAATGCCGAATTTGTTGGTCAAGAGGTCAGAGAAGCTTTTCCACATATTCATTTACCGAGGTCACGTCGCCTGACCCTTGAGGAGTTCAAAGGAGTTGACCGGAGTTTGAGGAGTCCCTCCCCTGGCAGAGAAGGTTTGGTTGCGCGCCAGCCATATTCGACCGCCCCCCCTTCCCAGTCGCGCGACGCGCGAATTGAATTGCATTCGGACACATTCGGACATTGGGATTAATCATCCTCACGGCGGAGTTGGAAATTAACACTACCTGGCTCAAAGGGGTTTCCCCCTATTGAAAAAACAATGGTACGCCAGCGGCCAGCAGCGGTGGTATCCTTTTTGCATGATCAGTCTTTTCCAATATGTTCACTGTCATCGTCGTGTTACGCCCCGTTCCAAAGCTAGGTGATAAGGGTTAACATTGTTCGTGAGATACCTTTCGGGCAGACAAATGGTTACAGGATCAGAGTAGGGTTATGGGGTTACGGTTACTCTAATTTCTGTGGGAAACGATCACTATACCGATATCCAGAGATCCAGAGTTTTATACGGACTGGTACACTCGCCGTTCAATGGCCAAGGTTTATTTACTACAGGGTCTGAATTGGGGAGACATCTCAGCAATGTTCAACAGTGTTACAACTCAACAAGGTACAGTCGGGCATACGGAATGGATACTGCTGTTTGTATTGTGCCCTAGCATACTTTCCAAGAAAAGACTCCTTAAAACAAGCGTTAATCTACAGAGATTACTTAACAAATCATACAGGTACGTAGCCCGCCATTCGCTATACACAGGGCCGCCTAATCCAAGAACAAGATACCCGTATTCAGAAGCAACCCACTAAATACAAAAGGCACCGATGAGCACCGATCTTGTTCATTTCACTGAAGGGTATCCATTCGTCACATTTGATGTGCAGAGTAGAGACGGTCCAAACCGGAGGGAGGTCGTGTTGACTCTGGTTTGTACAGTTGGTAGACATATGTTGGAGGGGCGAACGTGGGGTCGAGGGGAGGGAGAGGTATGGCGGTTGTCCTTGAAGGTGGAACGTTGTGCGTGCTACTATGCGTTGGTGCTGCTACATGTGATTGAGATGGCTTGACATAACTGGGTGAGTGGTATGATGTGTATGGAATCGGGGAGGTTGCATCAAACTTGGCATGTCGCTGGGTGTACGGCGTTTGAGGTGAGTTATTGTCCATCATGTTGGATGCTCGAGAGTATGGTGAATCGCGTTCAAGCGTGGGTGGACCTTTACTAGATCCGTCGCCGGCTACCTCCCGACACAAGGCACTACTGACAGCGTCCCCAGGACCATCCGCTGGCCATGTTATGGTATTAGCATCCAAATCTTCCTCATTACTGTGACCGCCCATGGCATTGCCGCATCCGCGTTTGACATGTCTCCGGAGTGCATCGCTCCTAGCAAATTTCTTCCCGCAAACATCACATGCATGAGGTTTTCCCTCATCGTTGCTGTGTAAACTGCGCATGTGACGTCGAAGATCGTGGTTGCGGCGAAACTGAGCTGTGCAGTGTGGGCAGGTGAAGGTGCGTGGGGCATGACATTTGGAATGCGATTTGAGAGAATGCGCCTTTTTGAACGTCTTTAAACCTGCGATATCATGTTTTTGGATGAATGAAATGCTCATATCTGGCTGAATAGTAGCAGAAGGCGAAACGACTTACATCCGGGATGAATACATCGGAAAATGCTTGAATGAGCTGAATCACTGGATGGTTGTTCATTTTGAAGGTCGCCCACGGGCCCATAATCGTTTTGTCTGCTCAGGGTCATGCTAGCCGTGCCCGCACAATCTGCCCCCGTCCTCACAAATGCAGTACTGGTGCGTACGTGACTTTCCCCCGCCCACTTTGCTGATACCTCTGCACTGAATCTGCGATTTCCGATGCTCTGTGGGGGAGAAGGCACCTGAATCTGCGGTGTCCGTCCGTCGAACTGCCGTGGTGCTGTCAAAGGAGGTAAATAGACTTTTTCACTCGTCTCGATTCCACCGAGCTCCAATCCTTTTCCAAAAGATTGCATTTTTCCCGATGGCGCACCACTGTAGTCGTACCGACTATATATATTGGATGGTCGAAGATCTTGCCCAAAAGAAGTCAGCTGCCTATTTGTGTCTGAGGTTGTACCAGATGGGGCAGGAGGAGAATAAGCCGGTAGTACTGGTGGGTAAGTATATCTCTCAGCTGCTGGCGGGAAGGCAAGCAGATCGTATGTCCCGCCAGTGTGGGATCTGTTATAGGCTTCACCGCTTGTGGTGGACATTGGAGGAGCAGACGAGTCGGTATTTTGCGTCGACGAGGTTTTGGAGTACAGAGGGTAAACGGAAGGTATCGCTTCGTATGAGGAAACAAACGATGACGGCACGCTTTTGGCCTTGGAGAACACTCCAGGATCGAAAGCAGGAAGCGACGACGACGTTGTTGGATCTAACGAGTTTGACACCTCCATTGGTGAAATATTGACGGCCCCACTTGGAAGAGACGAAGACGAAGATGAGGACGATAGCGATGAAGATCTACTCTGCGACGAGAAGGGATCAGTTGACGCGTACTCGAGCGACTGCGAAGCCATGGCAGAAGGCTCCAATTTCAAGTCGCCCGTTGGCTGAAGAGAGATGTGTGCTTGTTCTTGACTGGAAGAGGCTGCTTGATTCGAGCTTTGTGAAACGGAGACCCCATATTCCAGGTTCTGAGGACGGTAAGGAGAAGCATTCTGGTATGTTGCGTGCATCGCCAGGCTTGTGCCTCCCGCGTCAATAGCAGGGTAGGATCAAAAAGCAACCGATCGGTTCGTTTGGAAAAAACGAAAACGAGTTGGAACAAAAAAGGATCCTGTTAGGTAAAAAGAAAATGGAAAGGGAATATTCAATGGGGGACACGCACGGCAAATGCTACGTTTTTGTTCAAATCGCTTAACATTCGACCGTCCCCCAACCCCCCCATTGGAGGGAGCAGTTTGCACACAACTGATGAGACTTTCAAGGGCAATCCGGAGCATATATCCAAGCTCAAGCGACAAAGGAGACACACCACAAGATCGGACTCACCCGTACGAAATAGGATCCTAGTGGCATCCGCAAAAAAAAATATAATAACCTCTCGAGGCCGACCGAGCCCCCCCTCCCTCCAACTCGTTGATGGTTTTGTTTTTTTGGTAACTCAGGTCTTTTGAAAAGAAAAAAGAAAATAAAAAATCAACAGATTGCAACAAAGAATGATCAAGTTAAATAACTCTAGCAGGACCGAGATCCCTTGTTTTTTTTGACCCCTCCACGCTATCCTTAAATCTGTTGTTTCTTCCCGTCCTTTTGGACTCACTCAGCAAAAACAAATACAAGTACACACAAGGACGAAGGTTGAATCAGGAAAAGTTACTCCCTTCTGAACTTTGCTCATCTTTATAATTTCAAATTATTTTCCAAAAACTTTGACTGACATTTACGTTTTTTGGCCCCCAAAAGCTCACCCGCAACCTGCCCTTTATTTCCAAGAGAACCCTTTCAAAAAAAACCCCCTCCCCAAATTTTATCGACAATTAGAATCAAGCCCCGCAAAAACCCGCTTTAAAGAAAAACCCAATTCCCCAACGATCGTTTCCCATCCCACCAGACCTCCGTCCTCCGACTCATCTGGACTTGCCCTCCACTGAACGGAACTTCGCCCGTCCCGTTACGTCATCAATAAAGTCACGTGTACAGATTACATAAGTGTTCGCGTCGCGAAAGGGTTTCGTCGAGTTGGTCGCGTCCAGGGCGGGATCTTGCTTTGACGTTTTGTCGCAGCGCATCATCGCTCAGGTGCTTTTATCCCTGCTTTTTTTTATCACTTGCCAAAGCATAATCTCTCTTGCTGGGGGCAATGCTGAAGGCGCAATCAAATACCCGATTTCAGATATTGGATCCACTTTCATATAATGTTGGCAGTGCTGTATCAGCAGGGTTTTTTTGTTTGATGCATCTGAATACCCCACCAGGCCTGTTGCGCCTGAATGACTGGTACGGAAAAGATGCATGGGTGATGACATATGAGTGTAATATGGTCAGTTCTGGCTACCGGATCTTCGGGGCCGTAATGCGGAAAGTACTGTGTTCATGTTTTTCACAGAATAACCACGTTAGTCAATGCATCAAAGTATTTGAAAAGATATGTTGCATTCGACATTTACAAGAACTAGAACTAAAACAAAACTTTACACGACAAAACAAACAGCTGCCTGTATATGCACAAAAAAAAAAAATGTTGGAACCATCGCACACATATCAAACTTTTAAAATTCGGTGCCTTCGTTCACCAAACTCTTTTTTGAACTCCTCTTCCACAACCGTGTACTCTTGACTCCTTCAATAACTGTATCTTTGCTCCACTCCAACGTCCTCGTCAGTTTGTTCCCCGGCAGCCTTGAATCCTCTCGGGTGGATTCCGACTTTTTGCCACCTTTTTCGTTGCTCACATTGGAAGTGGTCGCAGCGCCAAGCGTAAAAAGCTTTTTGGACGTTTGGTCTTTTTCTCCTGTGGTTTCCTCAGTTTCGCTTGGAGAGCTTGGCTGCAAGAGATCAATTTCAAGGTCTTCGCCTTCCCGGGGGTTATCAATCCATCGCCGTCCAGGACGGAAGACTGCGGTAAAGTAAAGTTCCGGCGATGTGACTGAAGTAACCGATTCAAAGTCGGCAGTGTGGATGGAGGAAGAGTCGGTCTCGTCCATAGAAAAGGAAGCGGTGGAGGATGCATCTGAATCGTCGTCAATCATGACTTCATTGGGGTCGCTTTCGCTGTCTGTGTCCGGAGATTTAGGTGGAGACATTTTACCATCTGCTGCTGGGGCAAGATCGTTCTCATCGAGACCTTGATGAGGATTCGGTGAAGCAATGCCGGTGCCCTCTTCCTTGTTTCCACTAATGTCGGTTGCAAGCCCGTGTTTAACAGCTTCCTCTCCCTGTGGAACGTATTTGGTCTCTTTCTCGCTTTCCTGTGCCAGTACTGTCTTGTCGGTCGTTCCCATATGATCTTCAAGATCCAAATCCGTCTTTCCTTTATTCCTTCGCCATTTTTTCAATGCAAGAACAACTTGACGTTCCTCATTGTCTACAAGGTCTTGCAGATACATTTTTCCAATGGCGAGAACCTTATCACGGAATCCAAACATGCCTTTTTGGTGTACTTCAAAGCGGAGAGATGATTGGTATCGAGATTTTACTTTGATGTTGAAGGTTTCATCGTATGTTGGTGCAAAAGTTGCTTCCTTGCTGATGTGCGTGGTAACCTTGCTGGGTGTGGTGAGCGGAGAACGGACTTTGATGCAAATATGGGGTGGAGGTGTGTCCGCTGTAGCAAAAAAGCAAACATTATAAGCTCGCAAGTCCCTGCATGCAAGACTGTAGGCAGTTGACGTACACTTTGTCACAGCATCCAATCCACGAATGCCCAGCTGCTTAATCTCCAGCTCTCCAACGCCGAATCCCTTCATATTCCTCTCTTCTTGCAGTTTCACGCTCCTGAACGCCATACTCATCCTAACCTTCCCGAATCCAATACCGCCTTTCAACTCATACCAAGAAGACGCAACCATATCATCCGTGTTCTTAAACACGTCCGCCAAACGAAGCACAACAACGCCAATGACAGGATCATGTTCGTGTTGACGGGCGTCTTTCACGACAAGGCGGAAGACGGCGCTTTTCCAGTCTCGGATAAAGAATTCATTGCTGCCTGCCCAAACTGGAGACGGGTTGTGGAACTTGATTCGAGTCGAAAACGCGCGTTGGTCGTTCACGTAGGCCTGAATTTGACTGTGAGTTGAATCTACTTGAGGAATAGATGCAAACATCATGGAGACTTACATGGACGTAAGGGGATGGATAGACACCGTCCCGGTCTTTGGGTCGGAGAATCAGATCCAGAGCTTGGTGCACCTGGACTGCGAGAATCCCTGACGCTATAATTGCAATGTATCTAGATGAGTTTCGTTCACCCGACAACAAGGTCACCAAAATTGGTACTAACTGTATTTTTGTGCATCCTCTTTCCTATTCTTGGCTTCCAGCTTGGGGTAGAACCCAATCTGAAAGTTCAGCTTTCCATTTCTGGCCAGCTTTTCCTCTTTATCTTTTCCGTCTTCTGTGGTGTTTTTCCTGAGGAGCGTCTTCCATCTACAAGTAAAGTTCCCAAAAATAAGCATGTCCAATGTCCATTACAATGATTAGAAAATAATGCAAATCTGGAGACGTACCCATCAAACACTATTCCGTCAGAGTCCACAACCTCTTCCGTGCGAATATCAAACTGTCCCAACACATCGTTCCTGCTCATGGCGTCGAAATCCCAAACTTTGACACTAAGCGGGAACCCATTCTTGACATCGTCCTCGGTAATGACAGCATAGTGGGTTTCGTTCCAAACCGGGTGACGATCTTTGGGAATGATACGTGTGCGGCATAAAAAGTGTGTAGAGTTTCCGAAAGAGAGAGTAGCGTACGGGTCGGAAGTGCCCGTCCAGTCTGCCGCACGAAGGTGTTTGGCCGCGCGGAAAACGATTTTGACTACACCGATTGCACGGGTATCGGCTATAGCGGCGTCCCCTAGCAAAAGACGATCAAGTTCAAGGGCCATCACTTTGGGGCTAACGAGCATATCTTGGATCTAACATCGAAATCATCACGTTAATGTGATACTTCACTGATGGAACACGACTGCCTCAAACTTACCGTCTGATCCAAAACGGTCATGATAAACTGCGAAATCAGTGGCATCTAAACAACAAAAGAGCAGTGTCAAAAGATCAGCCTCATCCCGGAAAAACCAGCCAACCTCAACTTACGTTCATAATGTTCCCCAATTTCAACGGCCGAATCGAAAAGTCCAACTGTGGTTTGTTCAATAATGTGAATTTTAACGTTTTTGCAAAAGGCGCTTTGCTGGTCATCTTCAACCAGACTCGGATCTGCGCTTCAAATCCAGCTTCTTCGACCATAATGGGAACAGTGACGGACCCGAGCTTTGGGTGGCCGAGGTGGATTTCGACCAGGATGTGCGTGTTTAGGCGAGTTCGGGAGGCAATCTCTTGTGGGGACGGGTGCATGGCTACCGTTAGGTCCATTAACTGGTGAACAATAACATGTCGTTAGCCATACTTGGAATAAATGTTCTCTGTATGAGAATGTTTGACGACTTACGATTGCATCTTCACCGCTAGCTTGGGGGTACACCTGCAAGCTCGTAATCCTAGGCGCTCGAGGTCCAAGCTCAAAATCCGCAATGCGGATACGAGTCTGTCAACAACCAAAAAGTCAGTCTTGGGTATCGACAGATGAGATAGTTGCAATACACATACAATGAAAGACGGGGCTTGAGCAACAAACTGGTCCTCAAGGGTATCAATCGCCGCAGTAAATAATGCAGGATCAATAATGGGCCATAATTGGGCTAGGAAAAAGTTGACCCATTCGGCTGTCTCTACATTATCACCCAACTAAGGCAATCTCTCGTATTAATATTCAGACCCTACAAGTTGCAAACCTTCACAAAAACTCACATGCAATGTCGTTTCATTCCGCTTCCTCTCGAAATCTACAGCACGGGACATGGTTGTTCGAATCTTGATTACGTAGAGGGCTAGGCAAATGCCAGCCATGATCGTCCAAATCCAGCTCCAACCCCATGTGCCAATCAACCAGCCCGCGAGACCCATTGCTGTTACACCAGCAATGTTTATAAACCTGTAAAGAAAAAAAATAACAAGGTCAAAGATTCCGGGTATCACCCGCAATCGTCAGCTACAGGGGCACCTACGGGTCAAACGTCATCAGAAACTGTGCAAGGCCGGGTAAAATCTTTTCTTGCATCTCTTTGTGGCTCCTTGAAGCACTTCTGTAAGTCCCGGAAAGCGATTCTTCTGTCGGGGTAGGGTTCTCTTTTGTCCCCGGTATACCCGATATGGGTGATTCGAGGATTTTGAATTTCTCTTGCAATGCTGCCGCTCTGGAGAATGCATAAGGTATTTGCGAAGCTTCAGTTTGTAATTTGGCTTCAGCGGGGTGAACTCCTGCTGCTGTCGTTGCGCTGGCTAGATCAGATTCGGACTCGGGGGGTGGAGGGAGAGCGGTGTCCCGTTCGGCTTGCGTCAAGTGGACTTTTTCACCAGGTACGGTGTGTTCTGATGTTTGGGACTCTGCCAGCGTGCTTTCATCCGGTGAGGCGCGTGCAGTGTCGCCTCTACTGGAGGGTGCCGTACTGGGAGGAATATCCACAGACGGTGCCTCATGCACCCTTGTAACAGATGCAGGAGAGGAAGTTGACTCTTCTGCCTCCAGACCTTCCATACTAGGGATACATTCAACGGTCGCAGCGCCATCAGGATGGATATCGACGATGGGGACAGTAGGGTCTTTTGTATCATCCTTTGCAAATAACCTTGTCAGATTCTCAACCGCCTCATTGGGAGGTGCAACAGGATCCCCGACTCCTGTATTTGGGCAAAAATTCCGGGATCAATAATCACTGGGCACATTTTTGCAAAGAAGGTTAATTTGCCCCCAACTCAAATACACACCTTGTAATGTTGCACCCGCCAGTCTTTTGGAGATCCCTTGCCCTTCGACATGACCTCCTTCCGCTTCTGCCGCCTTTTGGCTCAGCCCATCCACAGTCACAGTGGGAGGTGGAATCTGCTCCTCGGTCTCTAGCAGAATGCCCTTTGATGCTGACCGCGGCGGTGCGTCAGGAGGGTTGAGGATTGGATCAGGACCATACAGTGGATTGTAGGTGCTCATCTATGGTACGGGGTCTGAATGGTCAAGAATGCAAGAATAGGGACTGCTTTTTGAAAAGAAATAAAAAATCCGTTTCTGCCAAATGAATAGTACAGTAGTGTGCAATGGGATGGACAGTAAAATGAAATTCGTTCTTTATAACGATCTTTATAGCCCAAAGCCCCCCCCCCCTCCTCCTCCTATTTTCATGACATCAGAGTTGGGTCAAAAGGGCGTCTCAACAGTAATGCTTTGCGGATGTGTCCCCCCCTCCCTCCTCTCCGTGTTGCTTTCTCGATCCAAGATCTATTTCTATTCGCTTTCAATCGTCATGATTTCTTTTTGTTTTTTTTGAGTGTTTCCTCCCTTCACTCTTCATTTCCTAACGTATTGCTCATTATTACAATCTTACACTTGCATCCAAAATAAACAAAACGATAAGGTTTTGGAACACTTGCTTAGTCTCTTACGTCATATTGACATTTATCACGTGACTATGCGCAGCAGAATTATTACATAATCATAAACGACCTATTTCGATTTCCCTATGCCCGACGGTGTCCACCAGTGTGCCAGAAACTCGTCTACGCTCACGGTTTTTATATGGGGGAGCAGCTTGTTCAGCGTCCCTTCAAACACAAATCCACCCTTGGCACCCTCCGCGATCGCAATGCAAACCTGAGTGTAAAAGTTTTCCATGATACTCTGGGCATCCGGATGGATGGCCTTGTTCAACTGCTCCAAAGATCTGTATTCGACCTTGAATTTTTCTCCAGTGATGCGCTCGGCTGCTTTCACCACATGATTGTAGGTCGTGAGATCTCCAATGATGCCGGATTTCTCTGGCCAGGAGGGAAGGGATAAGGATCCCACCACGAATTTCGCTACATCCTGAACAGTTGTCATAACGACAGGCTCGTTGCCTGTTCCGGGGATGTTGGCAGTACGGTTCTCTGTGTCGATCACGAATTTAAGAGGTTGCAGGTGCCCAGTCCCGCGTGGTGAAGCGAGGTAATTCATAAACACGCCATTCATGAACAATGTCCATTCGAGTTTACTTTTCTGCAATTCCTCAATCACCGCCTTCTTAGGAAAGTAGCCCTCGATATTCGTGTTGATTTGCGTGTCGCTTGCCCATTCGCTCGGTGCAAATCGCTTCACGCCGGCCGCCTCGGCAGCGCGTAAGAGTTTGATTTGTACATCTGCCAACGCGTCCCCTCCTGCTGCAATGCATGAGATAAGTGTGTGGACATTTTCAAGGGCTTTGACAATGGATGTGTGAGACGTGTAGTCAATGGGCCGAACATCCACTCCGAGTGCGGTGAGAGATGGGTTGGGCTATCATCGTTTTTTTTTGTAAGTTTTCAGAACACACGCAAGCTTTGCAAGGCTTTGCTCACCGTTCGAGAAAGGACAACGACTTTGTATTTGCAGTCTTCAACAAGCTCCTCAACAATGTGGCGTCCCAAACCCCCTGTTCCAAAAAAAAAGAGTGTAAAGAACAAGCATCGATTTTACAAACCTGTAGCGCGTCTGAAGCCCACCTGTTCCTCCAGCAACAGCAATAACACCCTGCTCGCTTGTGCTCATGGTGTGAAAAAGGTATAAGGAATTATGTGTAAAGTATGTAGGTTATGCACACTTGTCAATGGGTGAGGGAAAGCAATGCATATCGCCAGCTTTTATAGAAATTGCATAGATATCTCTCCTACATATCAAACCCAGCTGACAAATGATGCTGCACAGCGCACCCTTCATCGAAAATGCCTGCCCATTGCACTCGCCAATAATAAAAATACGGAAATCCGAGCGAATCGGACACGAAAAAAGAAGTATTTTCTGAAAGCTAAGAGCTGACTCTTGTTTTAAACTTCTGAGCTGACAAATGTCCTCAGCTCAATGACATTTTGGCCAAAAACGACTTGCCATATTGGCTATAAGACTTGCAAGCGCCTTCCCCGCCCTGTCCTTCTACAAAACACCATTCATGAAACCGATCGCACGGCGCCATGGGCGGGCGAACGAACGTTGTTTTGGGATGTGGTCCTTTTGGGCGATTTCAAATCATTCAAGAATGCCCACAATGAACCTTTTTCCATTTGATCCAAGACTCAAAGGCAACAGTAGCACGTGTAAAGGAGATGGCAAACCACAATTATAAACAATCCCCAAAGGATGACATGGATGCCAAACCCAAAAACGCACATACGCTAGTCCACAGGTCCGCTACAGGTGAGTGCGCTTGTGGCCGTACGGGTCACGACCAACAGACTATCAAAATGAATTAGATGGTTGGGACATCAACGGCCATCGGGTGCATGTGTAGCGGAGCGCTCGACAAGGGCGAGGAAAGGAGAAAACCTCTTACCAAATTCCTGATACACTCGCTATTCCTTTTGGCTTCTTTCAAACGTCCCAGCGCGACGTATTGTGCCCATGGATAAACAATTAGCAACAATGCAGGTTGCTACAAGTCTTAAAAGTGATTCAAGCCCGTTTTTGTTTCACCCAAAGGTTCCAAATGACCTTTATACTCGTGCAAGCAGCCGATGCAGACGGTCGGTTCGTTGATCACTTGCCTATGAATGCGATAGTACCATGGGCCAGCACCAATCTAAAAGAGGTTTGTTGACACACTTGCAAGGGTGCGTCACTTTTTTTTTTTTGGATTCGTAACAGAAGGATGTTTCTGAGTGACCTTTTGCTTTGAAATACGTAACTTTTAGCATTGATAGCAAATGGATACCCAGCTGGCCAACAATATCATTTGTGAAAAACGGTTTTGTTTTGTTCCAAAGGTCTGATTGGTTTGACTGGACTAGATAACAATCCACCTCCATGGATGTGTTCATCTTCATGCCAAGATCAACCTTTTTAGCACACATCTCCAAATTCCATCGAAACTGTACCAATGCAACAAGTCATCAAACAACCTGCCCATATATCACTTCCCCAACTCTTCTTTTAACAAAAACATCGTTTCCAAAATCCCATCGCTTTTAATGATGATTGATGAAACTGTTCCAATTGCAAGTCAAAGATGTTGGATGAGTCACGCTATGATACTAAGCCACTCACGGTCGTTTTGGAGGGCTCAAAACAAGTTTTGGAAAAGGAAAAGGCAAGTTGCTTTTTTAACGAGATTTGTTTTTTTTGTTCAAGCAATCCCAGCAGTTAGAATTTAGAAAACAGATAGCCAAAGCAAGTTGAGGAAGCGGGTATTGGAAGAGGTTGGACGGGAGCATTCGAATCCGCAAAGGAACTTTTGGTTGTATTTCAAATGACGTTCCAAGCGACGGGGAGCACGTAAAGAAACCTGGGCCTCCAATCCTTTTTGCTCCAAGTCTCGCACCTTTATTCCTTCCACGTTACTGGCTTTTCAGCCTGCAATGGACCAATTTCTTCCTTCCCTCATGCGACAGCCCCTCGAAGATCAGCATGAGGGCCGTCAAGTCGGGCCGCAGCTCGAACTCGTCCTAAGAGTCTTGGAAGAAGAACGAAAGAGACAGGAGGAAATTCGAAAAACAAAGGAACTGGAATTGGAAATTTTGAGATTGAGGGATAGTATCCAAAAAGCGGACGTCTGTGGGAGTGGTGCTGGCCATACTCCAACTTCGTCAGGTTGGGTCCAGAAATGATTTTGGAACACTAGAGGAAAACTGAACCAAATTCCGCTCTTTTCTCTAAACATTGTAGATCCAATACCTCCGCCGCCGATCAAGGATCCATCCCCAGTATCGCAAGCAGAACTTCCAGTCACCCTCACCAACCTTGTAAATTTCCAATTTCCCGTACAATTCTCTGCTCCTCCTTCAACATGGGCGCAACCTACTCCCGTCCCCATCTCCTCTTCGTTTGTTGATTACACAAATTTCTTGCACGATCTGCAGACTCCCATGCCTCTGGACGAACTTTTCCAATCTCCTGAATTTGCTTCTTCGGCGGCATTTGATTCGCCGCCCGCTCAGCGAGAACATGGGGCAGTTCTCTCCAGCACAAGGCCTACCGGCAGAGTTCCGGTATGATGAAACCTTGCAGGCCGGGTTACCTGCATATCAGAACATTGAAGACTTTTTTACGGATCAATGGAATCCTTTACCATTGGCAGAGAACACGGCTGGACTTCCGACACCTCCTACCCCGCAATATGTACGCGCATCATCTCCAAATGTCTCAATTCTTCCCCCATACCATTTGCCGTCACCTCCTCTGCCATCCCAAATACTGCACACTGGAACAAACACCCAGCAACACTTGCCACCTTCGACGTTATCAACTCCAACAGCCCGTCCAATGACCTCGCAAGGGCCGAATTCCTTGACGTTTTCCATCATCCCTCAACCAGACCAACGGTCTGCGCAACATGACTCATCCACCCAACAGCGCCGAAGCTCCGCCAAATTCGCTCCTGCCCGTCCCTCCACTCCCAACAAATCTACCCGCGACACAAGCGGTCGCAAAAAGATCATTGACCACACTGTCCATTGCAAGCGCTGCAAAAACGAAATTGCAACTTTCCTTTTACATCCCGAGAGCAAAAATGTTCCTCCACTCAATTTTGCCGTCGACATTTTGTGCGTATCCTGTGAAGGCCGCAAAGATTCTTTGGAGGTGGATGATACGTCCATGGTATTAGCCGGGCGTCGCAAGCGCTTACATGACGATTATGGCATGGATTGTGAGATTTGCAAGCGGAGGATAGGAAGTGGTGGGTTCAAGTTTTCCGAAGAGCGAGAGCTCCAAGCTATTGGTGTTGGCGGAAAGGTGCGGGACGAAGACGGAGCCATGGTGGAAGAGGCTATGGATTTCCGAGTGGAACCCATCTGTGCTTCTTGTCGGGTAAAATACAAATTTTGTACAGAGGTGAGTAGTGTACGTTTTCACCAAGTTGCTTTGATCATGCAGACGTTGATGGTGGAACTTTGAATAGTGCGGAGGCGGCGGTAAATTCCGCACGGGCAAGTACCGGCCTGTCGAACTCTTTGCATCTAACCGCCGTACGTGCCTCTTGAGCCACGTCCGTCTCGGTGGCGCCCCTGTTACCTATGAAGTCTACTTGACCCCCACCAACGTATGCGAATCGCTGTATAACGAGTCCCGCGAAGTTCACATGGACGGATTCTATGGGCTATACGCCACGCCCGAGGTCATTGAAGCCGCCATCACCCAACTGGAATCGTACGCAAAAGTGGAAGAATGGGCCAACAAGGGGTGGAGGTCGGCCGAACGCCTTTTAAGAGAGGATGTGGAAAAGACTCGCGGATTAAGACGGTACCTGGCTGTTGTGTACGTTGAGAAACCCCAATCGCGCGTCAGGGGTGCAACGATCAAACGCATCAAAGCGAATGCCAAAAACCCTCATTCCACTGGTCCGGGGTTACCTCCTCCCCAAACCACCCCATCGTCAACATCAACTCCCTCCGCATCTCCTTCCTTTGAATCCTCCTCACCATCCGGCACAGCAACTACACCCGATCACGACTCCCCTCGTATCCAAGTCGCCTACGGATCCGCCGAATGGGATATTAGCACCGGTACCGTCCTCTTCGCCAACGGTTATGTCCGAACCACAACCGTCTCCACCCTCCCCATCCTCCGCGGCATGCACGAACGCCTCCTCCGACAATGTCTAACAGATTCTGCAACCGTCCAAGCCCCTGTCCCCGTCAAACACGTCTGGATGCTCGCGAGAAGAGATCACCTCCGTGTTCAATCGTATGTAGAACGAATGGGGTTCAAACCTTTGGATGAGTATGTGAGGATGAACCCTGGTGTAGATAAAAGTTTGTTTGAGAGGGAGGTTCATGTTCCCAGGGATTTATTTAGATGTTTTGTTTGTTCTGTGCATGAGTTTTTGAGGGAGGGGGAGAGGGAGAGGAATGGGGGTGTTGGGGGATGTGGGATAGGTGGAGGGTATAGAGGGGTTTGGAGGTAGAATTCTGTTCATGTTGGGGGTTTGGGGTTTTTGACATAAAGTGTGGACTCAAACGGGTATGTTTTTGGCAAGTATTTTGGTATGTTGCATCTGTCTGTTTCCAGCGGATGGATGGACTGGAAGAGAATGTATCAGAGTGGACGGATGCAGAGTAACGTACATTTGTGGAATAGAATGGAAAAAAAAAACAGCATTCTCCGGTCCCTTTGAAAAAAAGGAAAAAACCAGAGGCGCTTTGTGCAGCTTGCTCCGTCTGATAAACTTGCGCCAGAAGCCTTGTAAAAATCCTTTTTTTTTATTTACAAACACGAATAACCCCCACGTTCTTCCAACTACGCATCCACTTCCATGGGCTGGACATCCCCATGCTCCACCTGTCCATTAGTCCTTTTTCGTTCCTTCAATTCTTTAATCCTGTTGCGCAGTCTTTCTCGCTCCTCCATCAGCCCTTTGTAAGTACCCTGCAACTCTCTTTCTCTGTTTTCCAGCACACCAAGTTCCTTTTTCAACCGCTCAACCCTCCAAGGCCCACCGACATCCTCCATCTCCTTGAGCATATCAAAACTCTTTTTCTCAATGACAGTCTCCTCTAATACCCGCCATTGCTCAATAATCTCTCGTCGCAGTTTGTGCGCACGGGATTGGTATCCTCCCAAAACGACATTGAGTTTCTTTTCGAGTTTTTGGGGCCCGTGCGGCGTCCTTGCGCATTTGGTCGCGATGGCTTCAGATTACTTGAATGGATTTGGATTT